GCCCCAGGCCGAGGGAGATTGACAGTTCTTTTGTGTTTCTTCCATTTGCGAATAATCGCACCAACTGTTGTCACCTTCTCACCAAGCTGCTTGGCAATGGTCTTGTAGCCCATTCCAGCCTTGTGTAGGTCTACAATCTTGTCCCTGACATCCTTGGAGAGCTCTTTGGTCTTGGCCATGGTGGAGAGTTTGGAACCTGATTGATTGATTGCTTCTGTGGACAGGTGTCTTTTATACAGGTAACAAGCTGAGATTAGGAGCACTCCCTTTAAGAGTGTGCTCCTAATCTTAGCGCGTGACCTGATAAAAGACACCTGGGAGCCATAAATCTTTCTGATTGAAAGGGGGTCAAATACGTATTTCCCTCATTAAAATGCAAATCAATTTATAACATTTTTGACATGCGTTTTTCTGGATTTTTGTTGTTGTTATTCTGTCTCTCACTGTTCAAATAAACCTACCATTAGAATTATAGACTAATCATTTCTTTGTCAGTGGGCAAACGTACAAAATCAGCAGGGGATAAAATACTTTTTTTCCCTCACTGTATATATTTAGTTTGTGTTCTCTGTAGTGGCAGAAATGAAAGTAGGCAAAGATGCATGAATAGGTACATTCTTGGAATGGCATTTAAGAGATGGAAAGAGGAACAGATATTAGATAACTTACACACGTTAGAGACGTCATACTTACTATGATGAAAAGCAAGTGGGCCTGGGAAGGACACGTAGAAATTGAGGTGCTGGCTAGTGGTCGGGTCAAAACGACAGGGGTGGCAGGCAAAGGAGAGGATATCCAACAGAACGATAGAGGCAGCTCAACAACAATCCAGCAGCAGCTTGCTGGATTGTTGCTTTGCAAGGCCGTGAGAGATGGAAACAATTTTGGGGGAGGCCTGGATCCATTAGTGGATAGATCATAGCTAAATTGATCTGTCCACTGATGGATGGATTTATCCATTCTAAATTGAAAACCAATTATTTTATGACTACTTTTTGTGTTTAGTTTGATCTTTCCCCGTACGTCTGATCAGCACGGTTGGCTAAGTACGATGCGAAAGAAGTTCAACATATTCTTAGTTTTTTCGGTAAAGTCACGTTGAAGAGAAACAACAAAATAATAAAATATATATAAAACAATAAAAACAAAAAAAACAATAAAAAAGTTCAACATACATACATAGCTAATGATGACGACGAGCAACAGAACAACATTTTTCTTAACGTCATTCTCGTACGTGCACAATGACATGCAGTGCGTTTACTTGTAACGATGACGCAAACAGGTGGTCTTTTTACACAATGAAACTTCTTTTGTTCAGTTTTTGGGTCACGATGAATAAACAAACCGATGTATTTTGAACGTCTTTCGCATCGTACTTAACCAACCGTGCTGATCGGACGTGCGGCAAATATTACAATCGTATTATCTCGCATAATACTTTATCAGACATATTTCAACCTTGACTCGAAACTGCAACGCCTTCACATAAAATACTTTATCAACATTTAAAACTGAATCCATGAAAATTGTACATAGCGCTCAGTCAGTATTGTAAGTTCATTATTCATGTCGCTTACATAGCAATCGTGAGAGCTGTCATAATAAGCAACTTCGAATAACTTTGTTTGATTCTGTTTGCTGTTAATCCGGTGCATCTCAATTAACATTTAAATGTTAGAACAATTTTAAATTAACCATAGCAGTCTTCTGTATTCGTTACTCCCACCTCTTCGGTTTTGCTATATATTACGTATTCCAAAATTGCTCCGTCATTTCAATTCAAACAAATGTTTATTTGTTACACGGGAAATCCCGTTTAGCCAGTTACCTAGCTAGTTTTGGTGGCAACCCCCCGAAGCTAATAACAGAGTTACTGTTGGGGTGAAGAGGAGGCCAGCCAACAGCCAGCCCGAAAACTCAAGGCATAGATTATTTTGAATGGAAGGATACATTTAGTGGTGTGGTGATGCCACGGTTAGTACACTGCACTACAAACGCGACGAACGGAGTTCGATTGCCAGCTACGGCTAATATCGGTGGTGAGTTATCTGAACCAGTCCTGATTATCCCTATTCCCCAAATTGCACTGACCAGTGTGGTGGGATAAGGCCAAACAACCCCAATGACTGAAATACATGGGGATGCCCGTTTCCAGTAGTCGATTTCCAAAAGGCTGTAAACCAATTTATATACAGAGATTACTAGGAAAGCAAGTACAATAATCCATAGCTTACACAAATAAGTGTTGTCCATGATCAACACAGAGTGGTGAGAGAATGAATGGATAGTCGAATAAAAATGAGCAACAGTCCTTTTAATTTATACTATTTTTGGGGGGATGCTGCTTCACTTAAATTGTGGTCTTTATAAGTTCCGTATAATTTACTTTGTGATATTATCTTACGAAGCACACCACCTAATGGTTCACAAAGCAATACTGTCATATTTATGAATACAAAATATTAGTAAGCGTGCTTCACATGCTTTTCCATTTACAAATAACAAGAAGCACATGAATTGTTTATATTGTTGCCAACGACATTTTTGTAACATAAAAAATATATAATACATCCATATTTGCATCAACTTAAATTAATATCCTCTCATTACCAAAACATCACAAAGGACCCACAACTCAGTAAGTCAGATCTGGGATGACAACCAATTTCAATCTCCTAAAAAAACGGGGTTCATAAAGGAAGTACAGGAAAACAATCTCATGGCGAAATCCCACGAATAAATTATCGGTCGTGACACGCACCCGCCCTAACCCACCCACCCATGTGCGCCGCAATATTAGTAATTCCCTCGCTTCGAGACTCTCAACAACCAAATCAACTTGTTGCCTTTCACCGAAAACGAATCAACAACAAAACAGGTCCCTGCAGGGTGGGCTGGTAGAAGTTCGCAAATGAGATAATGTGACTTCCAAATGTTGGGTGCAATAAGACATATCAAGTCTCTGCGCTGTCTACTGCTGATTTTACACCCAACAGTCACGAGATTTCACTTCGTTAAAGTATTGAAAGGGGACGGACGGACGGACACATTAATCTGTTGCGGGCTAGTACACTCAGTTTACAACTTCGTTCCTACCAGTAAAACTCCCAAGTCAAACCACTTTGCTGGCATCATTTGCGTGCATCGCTCACCGTCTCCTCCGCGGTAGGACCGAGCAGGTGCTTGTTGACAGCCGAGTCCTCGTTCTCTTGCTCGCCCATGAGTGAGCCGCCTGCGACGTTGGCTTCGTTGGCGGCGGCGATGGACGCAGCAGCAGCAGCACCAGAAGGGCTGTGACAGCAATTCGCGCGTGCCACGTGCGGCGTGCACACGGCAATAGCCCAGCCTCCAGCATGGCAGGGGCATTCGAGCACATACAGTATTTAGGGAGAGGCGAAATACCACACAAGAGGGGCGGAGACCCTCACGTCATTCATTTACCGTACTCAAGCGAAACAACTGGCAATGAGTTGTGAATTCTAACGACGACAAGAGGAGCAACGTTTGCCCGATTGACAATTTTGTGTTAATTTTTTTTTAAAAGGCAGTACTGCGAGGTTTTGTTGTTTTGTTGTTGTTGCTGTTGCATTACTTCGCTAACTTTGGCGCGTTCATAAAGTATCGTCGTTCGGTTAGGTTTAGCCGTTGTAAGTGTTGTGTTGGCGAACTTGAAGCGAAAGGCAATCGAGGTAGACGTGGTGGTCTCTGGTCGCCCGCATTACGAGACGTCTGTTTCAAATCTCGAACGTAATATCCCTTTAAAAACAAGACAAGCGCAGGCAATTTATAAGCCTGTGATGTGGTTTTTTTTGTGAGTATTGGTTTGAAAAATGTTGTGACCCCCCCCTTCTCCAACGCCATTATAATCTTGATTTTATATTTATACGTCAAGCTGAAAATCCCGTTGAGGAGCGATGGGACCAACTCACGTGTCAGTGAGATGCATTGTAGATGGTGGTGCGGGGAGATCTTTATCAAGCAGTGGATAGACCACGGACGATGAGGATTCTTAGAGCCCGTAGACATAACAGGTCTTTAAATACGAGGGAGACTCGTGTTAAATATAGAACCAGACCATTTCTTTGACTTGCCAGCTGATGCTTGTAAACGTTCACTGCCAAGCATGCTTGAGAGCATGCATAAGTGCCCCAAAGTAGTTGCAGTGCAGGTAAGACTACTCAAGTGAAACGTGCTTCTTCACACCCACCTGAGTCACAATTACTTCGTCAGCTATTCAAAAGTGCCACTTGTTGCTCATCCACTCAAAAGAATGTAATTGTTCACGTATAAGTATCCTTGGTGTGTACAGCCCTTCGTCAAGCCACTGCTGGATGAAGGCCTCCCCACATTATTCGGGTCGTGGGGGGGGGAGATACTTGATCATATTTCACACTGAGCATTGCGGGATGGTGGAGGTGGGGAGATATAGATGCTGGACGCATAGAAGTGTAGTACAACAATGGATGTTGCACTGCGTTCTGATGCCCACTGTGTTGTTTGTGCGTAGTGGTTAAACCCATCATCAACCATCCCCACTCTCCGGGCAAAATCCACGCGTTTGTCTTCCCAGATGCGACGAGGTTGGGGTGCACACCACGAATAGTAATTAAGAACCAAACGCACAATTCACATGCGTTACTCTATTGTGCGGTTTGCGGTTCACATTGTTTAACGGATTGTTTCTTTAATTTGCCCTTTAAACATAGTTGTCCACAGCCCTTTGTGTTCGAAGGAACCTCCGGCAGGCAAACCGGACAGACTGGGTTTTGCAAAGTTGAAGGCTGTGTCGGGCGATTCTAAAAATCTTCATACACACGGTGACTCAGCAAGGGGGATTCGTCCTCTCATCCAAATATTTATCACCAATTAACCTCTCTCTCTCTCTAAATGTATTATCTATTTGAGTACTCGCAGAATATTAGCCAGTAATGGATTATGTATGCTGTGTTCGTGGCTCAATGTATTTCTAATTATAATGTAAACCTCTTAACTGGCAGGGAGGAGAATGGAAGGTTGAATTATAACTTCACCCAGCTGGACTCGATGATTGGGCTTCTCATACAAAACGGTCTTAGACCTGGTGAGTAGGGAGTGATGTTTGAAAACACAAAATGTAACACTGACTGCACTGTTTATTAAACACACCACAAATAAACTGGAGCACTGCAAACATTTCTCTGCTTTGTTTCGGAAATTGCGAACGTCATAAGTGAATTTGCTTTTTCGCGAAAAAATGTGTCCAATAAAACCTTTTTTCTTCATTAAAATGCCGTGACAGTGTGGTGCGTACACACATTAAAAAAAAAATACTCCCTCCTACACGATCGCGCAAGTGATTATATTTTTACGCGGTCCCGAGTCGGTGTTACCGCACACGTGTGCAAGACCAACGTCGCACAGAGCAGTTACTGTCTCGTGTTCCTGGCAGGATTCGAGCTCATGGGCAGCCCGTCTGGCTTCTTCACCGACTTCGAAAACAAAACGCAGCTGGTGGCGTGGAAGAGCCTGGTCTCGGAGCTGGCAAAGCGCTACGTCGGTAAACGCGCCACGCCAATCATTGCCCTGCGTGTGGCCACACGGGGTAATGTCGGTCGGCGTGTGATTCGGAATGCGCTCGACTCCGTGCCCTTGTCTGACCGGCAAGTCATTCAAATTGACTTGTGCGATGGTATGGGCCAGCCCCGATATCTAACTGATCTTAAAGTTAACAACAAAAAAATGCCACAGATGTTTCACACGCGAGTGCTCAATCCCTGTTTATACAGTCCATAAGGCAGCGATTGGAATTCTACATTCCTATGGCAGGAGTGAGTTCACTCATAGGGCAACCACCCTTGACTGCCTACTAAGTGGTGGTACTCACTTTATTGACCTGGCAGAACGAAGGGCTGAGTTGACCCCCAACCAGGATTTGAATTTGCAATCTTCTCATTGGGGAACTGCATTCGCAAACCACTGAAATATCCGGCCGGAACTAATTTAGCTAATGACTAAATGACCCCAATATGTCTGAATATAAGATGCTACTTCACTGCATGCAAGACAACAGTGTATGACTATTGCAGAATATCCACAGCTTGTGGTGGAAACAGCTAAGCACGCCCAAGCAGTGAATGTTCTGTCATGGCCTGTCTGTGGGATACCTGTGCGCCAGCAACACTGAATTGTTTTCCGACTTAAAATAAGCAATGGAGTTAAATCACGCCTTCGTGATGCACCATTTCAAAAGTGAAAATTCACCGAGTGCCGAAAGAAATGGGGGCATGTCATCTCGTGGCAGATATGTATGGGCTGCGTGAAGTCCTTCAGTGGAACTTCGAGACTTGGAATGAACCAGATCACGGCGACTTCGACAACATCAGCATGACGGTGCAAGGTAACGCAGGGAATCTCTGAAGGGCGTTCAGTGCGCATCCATGTGTGCAGCTCGCATCGCTTTTAAAATCCAATGTCAAAAATAAGTTGACCTTTGTACTCCTGCATACCAGACACTTAAAATATGTCCCTTTTTTTAAATTTGCATAAACGTGCACTTAATTTTTTTTGTTAGAACGAGGCGTTCACATCGAATATAAAAGCAGAACTTGTTTTACGTGCACTCCATTCTATAGTTGTGTTCGGGGCTATGCTAATCCTACGAACAGGTTTATAAACATTTAGCTCAAAATAATACGAGACGGACATGGAGTGCGAAAATAATGCCCAGAACAGCATTTTGGGATCATTCCAACTGAAATTAAGCACTGGTTATACGAATAGAATGAATGTGATTATATTATTAAGTGTAACTGTGTGCACGACTATGCAATCATTAAGCACAAAGTGCAAAGTAATTCTCAGCATATGGGGCTTAATTTCTCGCTGAATATTTTCCGGGTTGCTGGTAGAGTAGATTAGGTGACACGTGACCCAAGTAGCCACAGCCAGAGTTATACTGGATGTGCCATGTCGGGTCCGGGTATATTTTCTCACGTCGCCTACCCAGATAGACCTGGCTCAAATGAAGCCCCGGTTAATGTTCATGAGTGCAGGTGATGACTTTAGTGTTTAAAAAAAAACATATTTTTGTGTTGTTCCATGGGTCAGGCTTTCTAAATTATTATGACGCATGCTCGGAGGGGCTGCGACAAGCGAGTCCGCGGCTGAGGTTCGGGGGACCCGGGGACTCGTTCCGGCCTCCACCACGCTCTCCCATGTGTTGGGCCCTCCTCCAGCACTGCCACAACGGAGCAAACTACTTCACAGGGGAGCGTGGGGTGCGCCTCGACTACATCGCCATGCACAAGAAGGTGACGCCGTTATCGATTGCTCTCCGAGTAAAATTGCGTGCGTCACAGCTGACACTTCAAAGTGTCTGAATGACATTGCTGCTTGCGTGGGTTTTCTCTGTTGTGCTGCATAGCTCTCTGATGTGTGTTCAGGTTGTACCACCCTGTCAGCTTCTTCTGGAACTGAATTGGAAGTTCCTTACGAAAGCCGAGCAAGTTCCCAGAATTTCCAGCAAAATTTTAGATATGCCGAATATTACATGCGGTAAAATCAGAAAACACGTCGGAGATTAACAAATGCTCTGTGCTGAGAAACTGTCAAATGCGTAGCTTGTTTCCCCCATTGACAGCAGCATTGCCTGCAGCTGTTCACACAATGCACACACTTTGTGCCATATTATGTAAGCCACACTTAGGTTTAGCAAGCTCAGCAAGCCTAAAGATGAGATTCCTCGGATTGGGTGGAGTCATAATGGGAGGAAGAAAAATAATGTTTGCTGATGGTGTGTTTTTTTTTAATTACGTACAGCCCTTTTGTCGAATCACTGCTGGGCGAGGGCCTCCCCACACCCAATCGGGTCGTGGGGGTTATTTGACCATACTTCACTGTGTTCTGGTCAGTAGGGGTTTGTAAAGAAGAGGGGAGTATAGACGTGAGAACTACGAAGTACAATTCAACAATGGATGATACCACATTGGCCTCTGCTGCCCACTACATTAGATCCACAGCCTATAACAACCTGTTGTGCATGGTGGACGCCCATCCAAGCCCTTTCCAGGATCAACTCTGCTTAGTGTCCGAGATCTGACAGGATCAGGTGCATTTCAGGTGATGTTGTAAATGGAGTGTTTTTGGACACCATTTCAGAAATTCTTGCTACATTTCAGATATTCTGAAATCACGAAATGTTATTCCTGCGTAGTTTTTTTGTGGCTGTGCTGTACGGTTCTCCAATGCAGTTTCGGGTTGTACCACGTGTTGTTCGGCATGATGTCCGACGTTTCACTCTCAGCACATTGAAGAAGCTCCCAGCACATCGAAGAGCTATGCTGATTTTTTTCTACGTTTTTGCTAAACCTGCGAACACATAGACAAGTGTGCCGCATTGCATTTTCGACGTTGCACGCATTGATCGCCTAAGCGTTTTATCGTCACGCAGGGCAACGGCAGCTCCATGCACATTCTGGAGCAGGAGCTCGAGGCCGTGGACTTGATCCAGCGCCTCTTCCCACGTTTCCAAGCCACTCCCATCTACAACGACGAGGCAGACCCGCTCGTCGGGTGGTCCACGCCGACAGAGTGGAGGGCCGACGTCACCTACGCAGCCATGGTGGCCAAGGTAGAGTGGTTTACCATCACGGTGTTCAAAAAGGAACGCGTTCTGATCCGCACAACGTTGATGGGGAATGAGCTGCAAGAAATGTTCGGAGAACTTAAAGAAAGAAGGCTGCAAAATTGGATTCGGGAGGTACGACTATATGAGCAAAGCCAATGCCACCTTCAAGACGTTTGGCTTACAATCAGAGATATCTGTCGGACAATGGGAACACGCAGAGGAGTATTTGTACCTACAACAGATATTGAAAGTAGAGCACAATAAAAATGATGTACTAAAGATGTGGACGGCAGTGGGTTGGAGTGCTTTTGGAAACAGCTGAACTTGATCATAGCATCCCTTTCAATCAACATAGCAGTGTACCTGAAAGAGATGCTTTATAACAAATGGCTACTGCTGCTATGACATAAGGATCAGAAATATTTACACCAATTTCATCAAATGGAGCAAACTGAAGAGGGCGTAAAGCGTCTTGGAGCGATAATTATAATTCCAGTGAGAGACAAAAGAGCAAAGCATGAATCGAGGAACAAATGCAAATCGGAGACATCATAATGAGTGTTAAGAAATGTAAATGTGGGCTTTGGTAGGGACACTTCCCTAGAAAGGATTGATGGCTGATGGTCAAGAATAATAATGGGAGTGGCAACCGATGGATGTGATGCACCCGCAAGGATGTGTACTGAGGAGGTGATGGGGTGATGAAAACGGATTGTGTGGAGGTGCTAGCTGGATCATTATATCGCAGGGTCATGAGAGATGACGGCGTCTTGGGGAGGCCTCCATCCTGCAGCGGATTGAGCAAGGCTGATGTTGAATGGTGGTGGTGATGCTTTCGTGAGTGGTGTGTGACACTGCATCATGTTGCTTTAGCACCAGAAAAATGACGATGTATAATTAATTATTATCCTGACTAGCACGAGCGCTACTTTGCACTATGTACGGGGTTAGGAAGTATACTAAGCATGACTTGCATGTACCCTCCCTACCGTGTCTGAAAAAGGGGCAAATCGGCTTCTTGTTAATAAACTGCGAGGAAAATGCTCGGCACACATCAGTCATTCTTAGACACAAGTTTAGCTTCTGCTTAGGGTCACTGAGTAGCAGTCGCGATGTTAGACTCATCGTGAATAGTCCGTTGCATTCCTTCGTCGAATGCACATACCTCCCCTGAACCACAGCAGAAAATGCGCAACGCATTGCATGTTTTATTAAATGTATATGCTGGTCAGCAGAAGAGAGCAATACAATCCTTTGTTGTACTGTACTTTAAATGTTTCTATGCTGCCTGGCCTTTATAAACCCGCACTGACCAACATGGTGAATTGAGGTAAAATAACCTCCAGAGCCTGCGCGGCGTATCATCGAACAGTGTATTGGCGTTGTGATGTACATGTACCCGTACATTTTTCAATAGAAAAAAAAAATCACATTTGCTTACCGTATTTGTTTCGGTTGGTCGAAGTAGAGGCGTTGTGTTAATTTTATGATTGTTTCTACAACCCTAACCATCGTTATTTAACTATAAAGATAAATATTGCCGTTGCGTGTCTTTTGGCAACTCGAACAATTTGCGTTTTTACGAGTATCGATAGCGTTTGTTTCCTGCACGACTGCCAACCATGTCGATAATGTTATCGACATGGTTGGCGGTCGTGTTTGGCGGTCGTGTAGGCACTCTACAAGTAGCACGTCCTTTAACACGAATATTAGTGGCCGTATTTTCAATTGCTAATAAATAATGTTCTGTTTTTTGTGCTTCAGGGTGTTGATGTTCTCGGTGACATTTTCTGCGCTGGTCGCTGCCCTTTTCCAGGGGTTAAAGCATTTTGCCATTTAGCGAGAAGAAACTGTAAAGTTAGCCAAAAAACACTGAAATGGTTTTTAATGCTGATGAATAGAAGGCAGGCGGTGGGTCTTTTTTTAAAACAGTCAGAGCGTCTTCAACTTTAGTCACGTTTGCGGGCCAAACAACAAACATTTGAAACAATAGGCACCGTTTTGTGATGTTCTCTTTTCAACTGGCGATCGATTTAATTAATTATATATGCGTGTTTGTTGTTTGTCAAATGGATATATGAACGATCAAGTTAAGCTTGCCAGGGTTAAAAAAATATATATACAAACACACAGTGATATGTATTGCGATGGAAAGGCATTTTCTGCATACCGTTTCTGAACCAATGCTCTCCACGCAGGCTCGGGTTAGGGGAGAGGCAGTCGTGTGTTAAAGTAAGCGGGTCCCATTATTTACAGCTTACCACTGGCACAGTCGTAGGAAACCACGATAAAGGAGAAGCGTTGCTTGCAGATAGTGCTCATCAGCAGGACGCGCCGTGAAGGGGCACGGCCTCTGCATCGTGCGGTCTCGCAGGTGTGTAACTCCGCCGTGCCCGCATGTAGTTGGTGCGTTTTTATTTATTTTACTGGAGTGTGAAGAAGTCACCGTGTTTTTGGCAGCTGCTGACACGGACTGCTGACACGCACCGCCATGAGGCAGCTCGCTATTGCGATAGTCACACGCCTCAAATTTTTCAACTGTGTTTAGTTGCTTTCACGAAGTAAATGTGTTTTTTTATCAGGAGGGGAGGGGAGTTGCAGAGCGATTCCGGCACGGTAAATCAAGCCACCATTGACATGATGAATAGATTAGGGAGCCTAAACTCAAAACTGATCAGATAATAGCTGAACAAAGTGGCTTATGTGGAAATTTATAGCAGCCAAATACTCTAAACATGATGGAAAGGACATGATGGGACATGATGGAAAGGATGCTGTTCACTTAGAGGCCGGGTGACAGTGTGCGTTGCAAAGTGTGGTGTAGCTATCGAGTGGGCCCAGGTGGTGCAACTGCGCGATCCCCGGTGGCCTAGGAGCTGGTCAACGAAGAAAGGAGGATGCGGACGGGGGTGGGGGGGGGGTGCATTTTATTCCTTGCATCACAACCCGTGCCAAACACGCCATGCCACTGGCCTTGCACGCAAGGCTACTAAGAAATGAAATTGTGTATCATACGGTAACACTGAATAATGCGTACAAATTTAGAAATGGTGTGTACGTCAGCATGTCGATTTCATTAGCATAGGACGTAAACTGTCTAACACTTTAACTATTTTAGGTAGCGTGATGACAGTAAGTGGTAGATGCATCACAGAGATAAACAGAAGAATAGCACTGGCAAAATATATATATATATATTTCAGGAAATTGGATCTTTATTGAAAAAATTAAATGATTAATGATGAGAATTAAAATACTGCAGTGTCACATGTGGTCTATTATAGATATATAACCATAAGAAACTGTATTATATATGTTTATATGATGTAAAGGATTAAGATAATAATGGTTAGAATAGGCTTGTGAATTAGCTACATTGCTCATATTTAGCTACCTTGAACACATTGTCATGTAAATCTCAGGAGAAATCTCGCATTCATTACAAATGAAGTACAGTACTACATATTCTTGGTTCTGTCGGTAAAGTCACGGAGATAGAAATTTAAATACAATTAAATAAAAATGTACATCTATTAAGAATTAGAAGTAACAATGGGAGTTATTATACTGTAAAACTATTGCCAACATTTTCTCTGGGAAGCAGTCAAACATTGATTATTATCAATGACTATTTAGTTTAGGGCTTGTTTTTTTTTCTGAACCTTCAATAGATGAATTCGTCATGAAAGTTATAGGCAGAACTTCTGTCGCACCATAGGTAGCCAACCGTGCTAATCAGAGGTGTGGATTTTTAACACGATGTGAGTGTCCATCTGTATATGTGTAACATGGGGTCACAGTAACTCGTGAAGATGATCCAAAATAGATACAATATTAGTTTAAAGTTGTGTTGCTGTTTGGGACTTACCATAAAGAAAACTCGCCAAATTGATCAAAGATTTGCCCAAAACATGCAGACAAACACACGCTATTTGGAAGTAACACTTTTTTACCCTGACAGCTACCCGTCAACTTCCGTACTGTGACTAAACACTTCCGAGGACACGCGCAAGTTGTAAAACATTACAGAAACCATGCATCTGCATCGCTTTTCTTCTTTGTTATACTAGAAACGCTTGCATCAGGGGTCTCCGCAGCCTGCTGATGTCCTCTGCACGGTGGCGCATGTCTACCCAGGTGATCGTTCAACACCAGCGTCTGCTCATGGCCAAGCCCAACGGCACGATCAAGTACACGCTGCTCAGCAACGACAACGCCTTCCTGAGCTACGTGCCGCACGTCTTCACACAGCGCACGCTGGCCGCACGTTTCCAGGTCAACGACACAAGGCCGCCGCACGTGCAGATGATCCGCAAGCCCGTGCTCTCCGCCATGGGATTGCTGGCTCTCCTCGGTCAGTGATGCGAAAGCCTTTTGGGGTGGCCGATAACCCCCGTTATTAGAGTGGGCCATGTGTACTGACGTCATGGTGCAAATTTGACTCAATTTGAGTTTTAAAAAATACTTGGAAATTACTTAATTGGGAAAAACCAAAGAGTAACATCGGCCCCTACTTGCAAACTAATAATAATAAACATGTCTGAGTATGCATGTACATATTTCAACACAAAGCAAAGGGCTGTAATACACCGCTCCAAAGAAATATGAAAATGATCTGCCAAATAATACAGCTACAGGGCTACAATTGTCGGCAGACATCAGTGTAGCAAATCCATTGTACTACAGTGAGGGAAAAAAGTATTTGATCCCCTGCTGATTTTGTATGTTTGCCCACTGACAAAGAAATGATCAGTCTATAATTTTAATGGTAGGTTTTATTTTTTAATGGTAGGTTTATTTGAACCAAAGAGTATGGATCCTCGCAGTCATGAAAGCTTCAAATCTAGAACAGAATAACAACAACAAAATCCAGAAAACGCTTGTCAAAAATATTATAAATTGATTTGCATTTTAATGAGGGAAATAAGTATTTGACCCCCTCTCAATCAGAAAAATGTCTGGCTCCCAGGTATCTTTTATACAGGTAACGAGCTGAGATTAGGAGCACACTCTTAAAGGGAGTGCTCCTAATCTCAGCTTGTTACCTGTATAAAAGGCTCTTAAAGGGAGTGCTCCTAATCTCAGCTTGTTACCTGTATAAAAGACACCTGTCCACAGAAGCAATCAATCAGTCAAATTCCAAACTCTCCACCATGGCCAAGACCAAAGAGCTCTCCAAGGATGTCAGGGACAAGATTGTAGACCTACACAAGGCTGGAATGGGCTACAAGATCATTGCCAAGCAGCTTGGTGAGAAGGTGACAACAGTTGGTACGATTATTCGCAAATGGAAGAAACATAAAAGAACTGTCAATCTCCCTCGGCCTGTGGCTCCATGCAAGATCTCACCTCGTGGAGTTGCAATGATCATGAGAACAGTGAGGAATGAGCCCAGAACTACACGGGAGGATCTTGTCAATGATCTCAAGGCAGCTGGGACCATAGTCACCAAGAAAACAATTGGTAACACACTACGCCGTGAAGGACTGAAATCCTGCAGCGCCCGCAAGGTCCCCCTGCTCAAGAAAGCACATATACATGCCCGTCTGAAGTTTGCCAATGAACATCTGAATGATTCAGAGGACAACTGGGTGAAAGTGTTGTGGTCAGATGAGACCAAAATGGAGCTCTTTGGCATCAACTCAACTCGCCGTGTTTGGAGGAGGAGGAATGCTGCCTATGACCCCAAGAACACCATCCCCACCGTCAAACATGGAGGTGGAAACATTATGCTTTGGGGGTGTTGTTCTGCTAAGGGGAGAGGACAACTTCACCGCATCAAAGGGACGATGGACGGGGCCATGTACCGTCAAATCTTGGGTGATAACCTCCTTCCCTCAGCCAGGGCATTGAAAATGGGTCGTGGATGGGTATTCCAGCATGACAATGACCCAAAACACACGGCCAAGGCAACAAAGGAGTGGCTCAAGAAGAAGCACATTAAGGTCCTGGAGTGGCCTAGCCAGTCTCCAGACCTTAATCCCATAGAAAATCTGTGGAGGGAGCTGAAGGTTCGAGTTGCCAAACATCATCCTCGAAACCTTAATGACTTGGAGAAGATCTGCAAAGAGTGGGACAAAATCCCTCCTGAGATGTGTGCAAACCTGGTGACCAACTATAAGAAACGTCTGACCTCTGTGATTGCCAAAAAGGGTTTTTCCACCAAGTACTAAGTCATGTTTTGCAGAGGGGTCAAATACTTATTTCCCTCATTAAAATGCAAATCAATTTATAACATTTTTACATGCGTTTTTCTGGGTTGTGTTGTTGTTATTCTGTCTCTCACTGTTCAAATAAACCTACCATTAAAATTATAGACTGATCATTTCTTTGTCAGTGGGCAAACGTACAAAATCAGCAGGGGATCAAATACTTTTTTCCCTCACTGTATATTATGCTCCAACGTCTATAACCCCCACAATCTACATGGTATATAAATGCCGTCCGCCAACAGTGGATTAATAAAAGGGACTGTACATTCATATTGACATTGCGTTATAGACAAATACCAAATGTTTCAGCATGGGGGGTACACGTACCTTGAATATGTATTTAAAAACATATCAGTACATTCTGTTTTTTTGCTTTCAGCTATTGACTCCTCCAGTTTAATGATCGCAGATAAAGTTATCTGTCGAAATAACTATGCAGGTTTAACTCAGGGTAAATATTTGAGAGCTTTCGTTTAAAAAAAAAGCATGTGAAAAGTATTTTTCCCACAGAAATATCAAGTCTAACATGCCACTGCAGAAGGTCATATGAAGCGTATGGCGTCACTAAAAGGTTAAGGTGGGGCCCTGCAACTGCTTGCTCACGCCACGGCCGGCGAAAGGGCCTCAACTACAGAGGGAGTTAAAGAGGAGCCCCACGAGATGGCATTTGGCAGAGTCTTCCGCACTGTCGAGAATGTCTTGGAAAATGTGGGACGACCCACACTTGACCCCACCAAACGCGACCAGCCAAACGACGAACTGCGGTGTCCCCAATTATTCTGCTGGGTGGACGGAGGCGAGGCGGCGGCGGTGGCAGGGACAAACTTTAACCGTTGTCCCAACTGCCGCACCGGGATAAGCTGGTGGACTTCTGGATCGCAGGTCCAGCGTGCTAACCATTACACAATGCTTTTAAATATAAAATTAAATGTAAACTTATTTTTTTTAGGAACCTGCGGTTTTTTTCTTCGTGGTGAAAACATCCTTTTGCTTAGTTGCTCCCCGGATGGCCTCGTATGACCTGAGGAAGGGGGGCAAAAAAATAAACTCGCCTCGTAGACATTGACGGCTTCCCCCTCACTCTCCAGAGAGAGGCAATGTGAGAGACGTGTGGGAGAGAGGCTTTCCAGAATATGAATAGCACTAAAAAATATCCCCACGGCTTGTGCGGCGGTCTCCTGCGCAAAACCTCACAAACACCAACAGCCGCGTGTTGTTTTCCACGCCACGGGCCTATCACGCCGACTTAGCTTTGCTCTCAAGCTCGTGCAGTTCACACTGCACGCTTATCGTAATCACCTTATTTGTCGTAATACCATAATCACTGTAGCTGAGAGGTAGAACTTGGCTCTGCAAGACTTTTTCTCCACACTTGTTACAAACAAATCTCGTTGCACATGAGAGGGCTTGCTGCGAGGGCTGTTTTCTCCTGCTCGCAGTACCGCAACCCCCTGGTGTAAATGAGGCTACCCCACACCCCGCATTGTAATGCAATGCTCACATTTGCATACTCTTTCTGCATTAATGCCCCATTTCCATATCGAATATAACAACAGCACAGCATTTAAAGCACAACTAGGTTATCTAGCGAATGCGAATAAACAATTGAAAGCTACGAAATCTCACGTGGCATTTAGAGGTTCTTCACCTTAAACAGTGGACTTCGTCTGAACTGAGATTCACTTGGGGGTTTTGACGGAAAAGCTCAGTTACTGGAGCGTGGCGTGCAGCATGAAGGTAATTCATTTAATGCCTGGAGGATAACCAGTTTTAACCAATGACTCGACGCATCATTACATGCCTGATAACCAAGAGTGCTTTCTCTTGCATTGGAACTGCTGATGTTGGCTGTGCCCTGGCCGTTTGCTTGCGTATCTACTATGCCCCCTGCAGGGGAGCGGCAAGTACTGGCGAACGTTTATCGTCCGGACGGGCACAAGGAAGGGGCCAATGGGACATTCGGAGTCCTGGCTAGCACTCACGAGGTAGCCGCGAGCCTCCCGGCCACCGACAGCTGGCAGTGCTCGCTGCTCATCTACAACAGCGACGACGTGAGGACGTCTACCTGCGTCAGCCCAGTCACCGTCGTCGTTAGCAACCTCCCGTCTGACAAAGGTTTCCGACTAAGAGGCCGGGCGGTGATTGCGCGGCACATTAGTTCAAATGTGTTGCTTCATCAATTGACAGAGCAGCTTGCGCTTTTACACCTGCTGGAGGGTGTTTAATAACCTTGCGGTGGTTGTCAGCCTGTAAATTCTCGCTGCTGGGCAGTGTTGTTCTTTTCCAGTAGCAGCCTCCAGATTCATTGATATGAACAAACCATATTCTCCGCTGTCTTCTCTGCTTCTATTAATAAATGAACAACAATAATAACAATGACACATTTTTTACTGTTTGGCCGTGTCGGGTGGTGGAGGGTTACGACACATTTATAAATAACGCGATCTAACCCAAAAACCTTTATTATGAATAACAACAACCTTTGTCAATCCGCTGCTGGATGATGGTTTCCCTACATGCTGTCAGTCATGGGAGATGTTTGGCCATACTTCACCATGCCGGTCAGTGCGGGTGGGTTAAGAGAGCACACATGACCACTGATATTAGCCGTGGCAGGTCCTAGGGGTCATTGCGTGGCACGCTAACCTTTGCAACAACGCTCCATTGCAGAGAATGTTGAATATACATGGAGTGATATTCTTGGTTCTTTCGGTAAAGTCACGTAGAAGGGAAACAATAAAATAATAAAAATATAAAACAATAAAATTCTCACGACGTTTCGACTGCAACACAAGCAATCATCATCAGGTGTGAAAACCACAGCAAGAAAATTTGAAAAAATACATGGAGTGCTTCACTCTTCCGGCGATTCCATGAAGTGTCATGATATGCAGTTGCAATTTGGTTCAATAATTTATATTTTATTTATATTTTTGTCCTGCGGTTTTAATCTGTCTGTTTTGTTTGCTTCATAAATGTAATATGAGCTTAGCATTTTCATATAATGTGCATAAATTGGAAGTAATTGGCTTAGAATATATTCAGTGTAAAAATATATTTTATTCAACGAATCCACGCATCATTACATGTCTAGTGTTTGGTTTAATGAGCTCATAAACCACATCTACAAATTGCGTCTTATTGCTCTATAATTTGACTTTAAATGGCAGTGCATAGAGCAGTGTTTCTTCAATTCCAATCTTCTTGACCTCCTACTGTGCAGTTTTCCACGATTACAAACCATGCGGTGCCTGCAGCACTTACTGGCGTAAATTTCATATAATTTGTATTTACATTTGTTTACCCAAGAAAGCTTTGCTGAGTCTCAATAACTTTTCAGGAGGTCCTGCTAAGTTTTCACAGTTGGGGGCAACAATTGCTACGTATTTACCAATTAAGTCATTTGCAAGTAATATTTTAAATTGGCAAATTAGGACCATGATAACGCGCACCTTGCCATGTACATGTGAATAATAAATATTGGTAAACATGCAAAGCCGACAGTCGTGGGTCTCAAGGACTGGAGGTGTGTGTCATGCAGGTTTAGAGTACTCGGTGGGAGATGCCAAGGTCGTATATGGATCTTCCTTTCCAGAACTGGTGTACGTTGGATATCAGTTGGACAATAAGCAAACAAATCCCTACGCACTGTGGAAAGCCATGGGCAGCCCGCCCTTTCCATCTCCCAAGCAGTTTCGACTCCTGCGTGAACTGGAGGTAATCACAGCACCTTCGATAACTGTAAAAGTTTAGACCTGCAATTTTATTGGTTATGTCACTGCTGCCGGAAGTGCTACTATTAGGAACGCAACACACGGAGACTGACATGATTGTGGGTACATTGATACTGGCATCTGCATTTTCACAAAAGTAAAATATTAGGCAGTTAATAATAATTATGCTTCAAGTACCGAGCTACATGTCATGGGGCAATAGTTAAAGTTGAAGGTGCAGGCTTGCAATATCTTGCTTACGCCACTTCTGTTGGATGGTCCTTCACTTAGGTTGTTCTAGGAAGCCCCTCTTAGAGAGTATTTTGGCCTACTCCTTCACAATAGCCAGACATCTTCTTTGGTTCTTTCGGTAAGGTCACGTAGAATGAGAATAAAATAATAAAATAACACAATAAAATTCTCACGACGTTTCGGCCACAACGCAAGCGGCCGTCTTCAGGTGAAAGGTACAGACCTGTCGGGACGACAGAGCTTCAGGTACCTTTCACCTGAAGACGGCCGCTTGCGTTGTGGCCGAAACGTCGTGAGAATTGTATTGTGTTATTTTATTATTTTATTCTCATTCTACGTGACCTTACCGAAAGAACCAAAGAAGATGAATCCTTGCAGTCACGAAAGCTTTAAATCGAAATTTAATAGCCAGACATCTTATAAGAGGTCGAAGTACCCACACTGTGCCCCACCACACACAACCTGCCGATCAACTGTTTCATCACAGCTCCTAGTCGTACAAATGAATCAAATTTGCCCCTTGCGGTTGACAGATGCTGTGCTGTTGGTGTCGCTCTTTTCCGTTAGGATCCGGTGGTTAGCAGTCCGCTGCCTGTGTTGGGTGTTGGCCCGTTGCGACTCACACTGGCCCTGCCTCAGCCGTCGGTCTATCTGCTGCACGTGTGTGCTAAGCCTCAAGGTGTGCCATGTCAGGTGAGCCTTCAGCAATGAAGCATTCTCAAGCTTTTAGGTGATATATCCAGGGCTTAATTGCTTGGGAATTTTTCGGATCGCTGGTTATCTGATCGTGACTCAGTAGCCACAATGATAGTGAGAAATATACTGAATGTGATGTGCCGGGTATGCAGAAATATTTTAAAAATCGCTGATACGGACAGACCCTGCTAAAACTAAGCCCTGGGCTTATCCACGTCATTGCTGGCAAAAAAAAATCACCATGATTACACTTTTTCCACAGCGTTGCATGGGTTTGTTGTACATTTCTCTAATTCATTGCACATTTGGTGCGGTTGCTGCGTGCGTTTTAACAGGTCGCTGGACTCCGCGTGATGCCTCTCACCAAAGGTCAGGCCCTCGTCGTGTGGGACGACGATGGTGCGTGCTCCCGGTGAGAGTGCACGCTTTGTTGAAGCTGCTTTCACGCCGTGCGAACTTGAATGCTTTCCAGCCACGTGCTCATATGTTGTTTATTAATCCACCGGCTGTATCCGATAGGTGCTTGAAAACGTTTGAGGTGGAGTTTTCACCGACAGGGGAACGCTACGCGAGGATCCACGTGAAGGACAGCATTTTCACCCTTGCCGTTCACTCCCCAACTCTCAGCGATCCTGGAGGTATGTCCTAATTACACCAGTGTGACCCATTTATAGACGACACAATAAAATAATAGGGTGAAATAAATATAGAAAACAATATTGTGTTTTCAAAGCCTCCACCTCATATCTCTCATCCGTCTCAATACATTTTGACTTAAAACTTTCGTGACTGCAGGAATTCATATTCTTTTGTTCTTTCGGTAAAGTCACGTAGAAGGGAAACAATAAAATAATAAAAAATATAAAACAATATATTATATATGTTTATATGATGTAAAGGATTAAGATAATAATGGTTAGAATAGGCTTGTGAATTGGCTACATTGCTCATATTTAGCTACCTTGAACACATTGTCATGTAAATCTCAGGAGAAATCTCGCATTCATTACAAATGAAGTACAGTACTACATATTCTTGGTTCTTTCGGTAAAGTCACGTAGATAGAAAATTAAATACAATTTAATAAAAATTTACATTTATTAAGAATTAGAAGTAACATTGGGAGTTATTATACTGTAAAACTATTGCCAACATTTTCTCTGGGAAGCAGTCAAACATTGATTATTATCAATGCCTATTTAGGGCTTGTTTTTTTTTCTGAACCTTCAATAGATGGAATCGTCATGAAAGTTATAGGCAGAACTTCTGTCGCACCATAGGTAGCCAAACGTGACTGCAGGAATTCATATTATTTTGTTCTTTCGGTAAAGTCACGTAGATAAAACATCTTTAAATAAAAATAAAAACCACGACGTTTTGATCGCAACACAAAGCGGTCGTCATCAGGAAAAAGGGGTTAGCCTCTAAAGGCAAACTGTTTATAAAGGTTTAAAATGGGCATAGCCCAAGTGGGCTGCGATCGAAACGATCAAAACGATCGCAGCCCACAAATGTCAGGAATCCGTTCAAAACGATCGCAGCCCACTGGGGATCGAAACGTCGTGGTTTTTATTTTTATTATTGTTTCTATCTATGTGACTTTACCAAAAGAACCAAAGAATACATCGCAATCCACAAAGGTAAGTGGGTCATTATAAATCATTGTGGTACCTATAAATTGTTCATGCCATATAATTCACATTTATAGGGTTGTGGTCGTTTATGACCAGCTGACTTCAGAAACACAATGACCCGGATGTTTACCAAACTCGAGACAGACACTGGAAGTCGGAGCACATGACATTAACAGCTGTAAATGTCATGTCATATTTATTTATCCAAGAAAGCCTTATTGAGTTTCAAGACTGGCTTTCACAATGGCCCTCCTGAATTGTGTTGTTTGCCTGATTCTCGTGTAGAATATTTTTTACATTATTGGAAATTAGAATGCGCATGAGGGGAAAACACTAAAAAGTCCACGGAAAAAATGTCAGGAATCCGTTTGCTATATTCTTAGCTCTTTCGGTAAAGTCACGTTGAAGAGAAACAATAAAATAATAAAATATATATAAAACAATAAAAATTCTCACGACGTTTCGACCATAACACAAACGGTCGTCATCAGGTGTGTCGGTCATCAGGTGTGTCGTTTTGCATTAATTAATGCAAACCGACACACCTGATGACGACCGTTTGTGTTATGGTCGAAACGTCGTGAGAATTTTTATTTTATATATATTTTAATTAATGCAAACCGACACACCTGATGACGACCGTTTGTGTTATGGTCGAAACGTCGTGAGAATTCTTATTGTTTTATATATTTTATTATTTTATTGTTTCCCTTCAACGTGACTTTACCGAAAGAGCTAAGAATATGAATTACTGCAGTCCCGAAAGCTTTAAATCAAAAATCCGTTTGCTATGCAGCCATCTCATGGCCACCTCACAGCCCTGCAGGCGTGGAGGTTTCTCAATCTATGTGATCCACAAACCCTTTACTCTCAAGCGCTGGATCAGAGGTGTGCACTAGCACACCTGGTTTAAACGTCGTGAAGAAAGGCTGATTATGATGCATTTTAAAACGATGGTCCAAGTGTTTGACATCTTGGTGTCTCTCTGCCAGGTGGATCTGTGACGGGATTCTACAGAGTCCGTGCTGTTGATTACTGGAGTCGTCCTGGAACATTCTCTCTTCCTGTTTATTATAAAGACCGTGCGCAAACTTAATGAGTCCCATCCTGATCCAAAAAATATTCAACATAATCTGTAAAAAAATAATTCCTCTAATATCCCTGTAGTTGATTTACAGGGATAGTAGAAAAAAGTTTACATTGTTTTTAATCCACAATGCCACAATAGTCTGTACGAAATTAGAATGTAATTGTGCAGTTGAAGATTAATCATCCAAAATGTTTATTAGGTTAACAGAACAATGGGCAGCTCGGGATGAGTGCAACCCTTTGATCACCACATGAGTGGAAAGGCTTTAAAGCAAAACAAGAGCACCAGCCAAGCGATTCTTTAGTATATTTGTATTGGTGATACGTCTTCTGCTACCTTACGTCCATAACCAAGCTTACTCCAGATTCTTTTTAAGGTTGACAACTATATTGAATGCCCTGTGCTAATGAGTGTTTACTCTTTCATTTATTTATGCTTGAAATAAGGCAATGTGTTTTATGTTTTGGAAAGTTATGATAGTAAAGTATTAAGAACCTTATTGAAGACCCAACAAAGCAACAGCCTGGCCTCTGTCTTCTTACCCCACGACAGTGGACCACTTTCAACCATGTCCGAACAACACATGGAAGGTGTGGACTTTTCCTCTATAAATGGAAGATCAGGGACTCGCCAAACTGCAAATGCAGTCAGATGCCACCCCTCGGGCATATCAATACAACACGCATGTTCTGGTGGAACAAGCGGACCCCACTTGGCTACCCTTAGATGCTGTGGAATGGCTGCCAACATTGAACATACAACTGTCGCCTGTTGCGTTTTTTTCAAATGCCATACAAAAGAAAATAACAGTACAGTGTTATTTTAATCCCATACATATTGAAACGCATTTCTCAAGGGACAGCACGTCAATATTGTATGTACAATATGAGAGAAGTGTTTAGTTACATGATGTTGCCGTTTATTTGTTTAAAATGAAAAACGCAATTTAAGTAAATGCACCGTAAGCAGCTCAATCTACAATGTTTCGGTAGTAATGTAATTTAATAAACACGTCGATTAACATAACCAAAGTCTACGGATGTATATTCCATACAAAAATCATATGCACATTGGCACCAAGAGGGCTTAATCTTCTTTTGAGGACTGTATTTTGCCCCCCCCCAACCCCCTGAATTCTAATACCCCCCCTCCACTTGATTGAAGGGGAAACATTTTCTGGAGCTCAACCCCGGATAGCTCCGGCTGAAATTAAGCCCAATTGTAGGAGGTTGCATCAAATTCCTCAAGTTAAATTTCCCCATAGCTCACACTGATGTACGTCACAAACCAAGGGCAAATGTGAATTTGACGCAACCAGCCGCTGATCAATAAGTGATAGCTACTTGTTCTACAAAGTAGTGTTTTTGTTTTAAACATTTGGCTAAACAGCTAAACATACACATAATGAGTACAAATATAAAACCAATCGACCTCTCCCTCTGCCCGCCCCCAAAATATTCTCAAGCGTGTGAGGTTGGCTTAGTGCTTGTCAGCAAAGTGAGCCCAGTTTATATTCTTGGTTCTTTCGGTAAAGTCACGTAGAAGGGAAACAATAAAATAATAAAAATATAAATCAATTAAATTCTCACGACGTTTCGACTGCAACACAATCATCAGGTGTGAAAACCACAGCAAGAAAAAGTGGCGGTTTTAAGAAAACCGCCACTTTTTTCAAACTTTCTTGCTGTGCTTTTCACACCTGATGATGATTGCTTGTGTTGCAGTCAAAACGTCGTGAGAATGTTGTTTTATATTTTTATTATTTTATTATTTCCCTTCTACGTGACTTTACCGAAAGAACCAAGAATATGAATCCCTGCAAGTCACGAAAGCTTTAAATCAAAATTTGAGCCCAGTTTGTGAACATGGTGTCTCAGTGAGGTCTGTAGTTGGTGCCTGCTGTCCACTGCGCTCAAGCTAACAGACACCTCTGAAATGCCAGTCAAGTTATCCGTTGGAGCAAGAGATTACAACACCACTGGAAGACGGCGAGTGGCGAAATAAACTTAAATGTATTTTAAAAGGTCAAAATGCCTTCGCGAACGAACATTACGAATTACATCAAAAGTGGAAAACCTGTTCAAAACCCATCCGATGACGCTACAATTTTGCGTATATTTAAGTTTAAGTCACGGCTCGCTTTCTTACAGTGGAGCTGTACGTCTCTTGCAGTGAGGGCTCTCTGCACATTCTACATTCCGCGTGATAGCTTGTCCGGCATATATGGGAAAGCGTCTGACAGCTTGACCCGCAGATCCGCTGCCCTGGGTTTGTACACGCGCCTCAGCGCTGTATCCTCATGGCCAGCTTGCACGCCACGGCCGAGATGAGCGCAGCCCCACGCCCATTGCCTTCCTCCGACTGCAGGAAGGTGACGTCGCACTTGGGCGCCAGCTGCTTCATCGTAGTCGCAATTTGATGCTTGAACCTGCACCGCGAACACACCCGCAGCAGTTGGATGAAATTAGAGCTGAGAGTATTAAGTCGATTAATCGACTCGGCTTCGAACGTTATAGTCGACAGACTACTTTTACTGGTAGGAACCTCCTGGTTACTACACCAGCAGCCCACAGGGGATTATTGTTGTGTCCGTCCGTCCGTCGTGCATCCAAACATGGGAGGGGTGGGGCTGGGTGGAGAGGGGAGGGTGGGGAGGGGAGGCTGGGTGAGGAGGGTGGGGAGGGGCTGGGTGAGGATGGGCTGGGTGGGCAGGGTGAGGCTGGGTGGGGGAGGGGTGGGGCTGGGTGGGGTGGGGCTGGTCACCCCGTGGTGCCCTTATAAAACTCAACGTGTAACCTACTCACGCCGGCTTGTGCCCGCCCTCACAGTCGGCCATATTTGTGGAATACACCACGTGGTGCCGCCGTTGTTGACCCTGGCCACTGACCGAGCAACCAAACGTTCCTACCAGCTCCCTCCGCAGGAGAATGTGGTTTTTTTTGCGCTTGTTTATTTGGGCCACGCTTGTGAGTGGCGCGCTGATTATGATGATGACGACATTGTGAAACCACCCCGTCCAGTGATGCACACAACAGCAGTAAGACGCTTCTTGAGCATGGACAGGGAGTCAACATCACGGATCGCATGTGGTGAAGTATTTCCGGACAACTGGGGCAACGGAGAAGAAATGAGTGACCTCTCACTGAGGCGAAGCTGACTGGGGGCTTCTGGCAGAGTGCCTTGGTTGCTGCCGGAATCGAAGAGCACGTGAAGGGGGGTAGATCGAAACAGAGAAGTGGGAAAATACACAGAAGTGATGATCGACGTTTACGCTGCAGATTCTAAAATACGACACTTGCTAAAAAAAGTGCCATTGAAATAGACGTGCGTGCGACAGAAGTCGACTGCTTCGTGGAATTGGGCGCGCCTGAAATCACAAGAGCGAGGGACCGGTGTGTACGAGCGAGCGAGCTGCTCTCATTCTCACTGCGGGTGCAGCTTGTACACGGAGCCGTCCACTCCTACGGTGATCTCGAGCTGCTCCAGGCTGCGGTTCTCGCGAATCTTGTTGACGACCGCAGCCATGCCCGCTGCACAGAGGGAGGCCGCGCGTCGCGACACCGCCTGGCAGGAGCGCCGTACCAGCCGGCATTCTGCCTCCGTAGGCTGCAGGCCCAGCCCCAGCAGCACGTTCAGCGTCTGCTTCATCTCCGCGCCGTCATCGCTGCTGGCGAAATAATCAAACGCGCCACACGACACGATTTGAGGCTCGCTGGTGTTCGCAGTTGTCGGCACTGTGTCACGGCCGTCGTTGGGATGCGCCGCTTTGTCGGTGGACGGTTAGTTTTCTATACTCTTTGGTTCTATTGGGTAAGGTCACGTAGGTAAAAAAATAAAATACCTTACGTGACTTTACCCAATAGAACCAAAGAGTATGGATCCTAGCAGTCACGAAAGCTTTAAATCTAGAATTCAGTTGTTTTCTCTTTAACACCTGCTCAGGGTTATATTATAAAGATCAAGTTGCAGCCCTGACGTTGCTTGCCAACTCCACCGTTCGCGGAAGCACTTCCCAAACTCGAGGGAGGTGTAAATAATCCGTTCTGTATGGAATTATGACCAAGCCTTATGAGCTGTACCCACCATACATGCACCGCCGATAAACTGCGTTGTATCAATTTATATTGCCGATTGGGGATTTAAGAAACTTTCCCATTGTTACAACTACCGTGAAGGTGAGCTAACGATTGCATCATGGCAGCATCCTTATTTGAGGCTATTTTAAGCACTACGGTATATTGTCTGGGCCAGTGTCCGGGTGACTCGGAGGTCAGAGCGCTGAGCTGGCCCTGTTAATAACCTGGATTTGAATTCAGGCAGCCAGCCGCCTGTGATTACCAAGTTCTATCGTGTCCTAAGTTGATGGTATCAGCCCATTCACCAGTGACTACAAAAAAACCGATCACATTACATTTGGTTCTGTACTTAATGTGGCTAAAGCCAGGTCTGAGAATTAAATATAGACGTTTACTCTCATGTGATGAGCATTACTCTCATGGCAAAGCGATTGGAAACATGCTGCCCTCTATCTACTTGGCTTACCAAGTCTCATAACAACATCAGAAGTAGTTCTGAAATATGCACTTTTGTAGGCCATTCGCTACACAAAGGGTTGTATTGTTCTCCGATTGTGCCGAATTTATACTTTGGCTTTACACCGATGATACAATTGAGAGAAATTAGCCTAGCAAGAATGCTGTGAGGTGATGGTGGTAGAGCCCATTGAAATGGCATTACTCACCTCTCGATTTGGGACACATATTTGGTTTCAAACTTAAAGTGCGTCTGCAGCTTCTCCGAGGCCTTTCCTCCGAAAAGCAGCCCCTGGTTGGTGAGCTTCATGACCAGCAGCCTCACCAACTCGCCCATGTACTTTCCAGATATTATCTTTTCAAACCTGGGAAAAATGAAAGGCAGAGCTCATTAAATATTTGAGAAGCTCTCATAAACGCAGGGTACAAAGTATAGGTGGGCACTGCTGTCACACCGCTATCATGTTTTAACATGTGTTAACATTGCACAAGTGTGATAAATTCCATGTCATTGAGCAATTATGTTAACTGAGTGCATTTTACACTTTGGATCCAGCATGTTTTCTAAATTATTTTCTCGAATCATCGTTAGTGGATGTTATACTGATCGTGTTTTGCAATACTGATGTCATCATAAATCGAAAGGAGACTTTTAAACTCCGAACTTTCACTACCTTAAGTAGACAATGTTAAATTCTTATTTAAAGCTTTCGTGACTGCAGGGATTCATATTCTTGGTACTTTCGGTAAAGTCACGTAGAAGGGAAACAATAAAATAATAAAAATATAAAACAATAATATTCTCACGACGTTTCGACTGCAACATAAGCAATCATCATCAGGTGTGAAAACCACAGCAAGACAATTTGAAAAAAGTGGCGGTTTCTTTTTTAACATTAGCACCACGGAGAGCGATTTGGCAGTTATTCAGATGGACGAGTCCATCTATGTTCGGAAAAGAGGAGGGGGGAGACGAAAATAATGGATGTTAGTTGCCTATACTCAATCTTTATTGCTCCAAAAATAGTCAAAAGACAATCAATAAGCACAGGTTTTTAACAAATATTCAGTGATATACATTCCACACAAATATTTAACCACTTGTCACCCAATGTATTTCACTGTTATGATAATAATTGAGTACATCTGGTATTTGCGCCGATCTTATTGTGCAAGGATATTTCTGTGTTTGTGAGTGGCTCTGAGGCTTGTACATTTCCACTGTAATTTTTTTTATTAAAAATTCTCAATAGTAGCCATTGCTTGCAAGAGCTGCATCTAAGAAGAGGTTTAACCATTACGTACATATTGATCCATTAGTCCATGTGAGCTTCAGGCCATGTACTGTGCTGAGCACACCTAATCTCATTTACAATCGCCACTGATAAACATTATTATACCATAAAGAGATAACTCATTCAACCTAAAATAAAACAATTTATCTACATTTTGATTCAATGAATTGTCACAAATTGGTTGTCACGGTTTTATTCAACAATCAATTTGTTTGCCATTGTGGTGAATGTAGCACCCGTTATAGCTGCCCAGGGTCATGAAAAACATTTACCAACACATTTAAACTCTGATTAATAATTTATTTCACGCTCGATTAGATGCGTGTGTCTTGATTGCAAGATTCGATTTTTATAGAAACGATAGATATATTGCTCTGCAGCCAAATTTATATAATAGAGTGCTGCGGTGGAAATGTTAACTCCCTTACCTGGTAGGTTCGACCCCGATCCTAAAGCCTGTATATTTGGAGTTTGCGTGTTCTCTCTGTAGTCTCGTGGATTTTTCTCCGGGCCCTTTGATATTTCCCTCCACATTTACAAACGTGTGTTTGGAGTATTTGGCTGCTATACATTTTCATACGATCAGCCACTCCGTTGAGCTATCATTTGTGGCTAGGTCGCTTATGAAAAAAAGCTCTATATCTCAGTGGGCCTTACGTGGCCAAATAAAATATTGTTTAGTTTTAATTATAAATAGGTGGTTGGTGTGATCGCGATGACAAATGTTGCAGGCAATCACTCTATCACCTTTTCTCTTTAAGTTGCAGTACTTTTATAAGCTGAATTATATCGAACGCAACTCTAAAATGTTCACAACAACACCATAATCCCATTGAAGATACTTTGTGAATGTAACTTCAGGAAATTGAAGTTATACACTCAATTTACCAGATGGCAAAATATTGCAAGAAGCTTCCATTTGTAGTGGACAAATCACTTTATTTGTTAGGACCGAGCAGCTGCATTTGATGTTCGCTTGGAATTCAGTTCTGGGAACCATCTGCTGTTGTTTTTCAACCGCTCAATATACCGGGCTGTAAGTGCAGGTGATTGGCAAAAAAGCAAAATAAACAACGCAATTCCTTGCTGAGACGGCAATTAATCTTCTGTATGGTGGCCGATGATGATTTTAGATGCAAGTTTTATGCTTTATGTTGCAATATGTTCATATCTCTGGGTGATGGTATTTAACTTTCTGCCAAATGTAAAGTCCAGTCGATTACTTTTTGTGGAGTTTATGAAAATCAAAGCACGTTTTGAATATGTTAGCGTTTTAAGTGAAGTTTACAAGAATATGTTTTGTATGTTATGGAAATGTGCAAGAATATTTGTTGTTGTACAAAAGCAGGTCAAACGTATTGACGTTTATATGGGGCTGCGTTTCAGTGATTAGCGCACTCAGCAATGAACTTAGCAACCTGAGCTCAATTCCCGGCCACGGTTAACATCAGTGGTGTGTGATAACTCAACTGTTATTGGGCTGCTTCCTTCAACCTGCACTGGCAAGTGTGGTGAAGTATAGTCAAATAAACCCCATGACTGCATGGTATGGGAAGACTTTCATCCAGCAGCGGATTGCAGTATTTTTTTATTTTATGTCAATGTTAATGCCAATCTGATCATCACCTTCATTTCAGGATCAAGTAACCTAAAATTACTGCATGTTATACTTTTTGCTTTGAGAGCTTCAACACACCCCTGAAACCGATGGCGGAGCCAGGATTTTCAGGTAGGGGGGCAACCCCTCCAGCAATGAAAAATGCTAGGAGTTGTTAGTAAGTAAGGACTTACACAGCCATCGATCGAGGGTCGAATTCGAACCGTGTGTGATCGGCATCCCGCTCGCTGAAGGTGTTTGCCTTCAGGGAAGTCGTATATTGTATACGCAACTGCGCACAATTCTGAGTCACTTATAACTGCTTTGCTGTTACTTATTGGCAATTATGGACTCAGACTATTGTCCTATCATCTCATAGAGTCCCTGACGCATAATAATATGCTACACAGTGGCAGTGGGGGTCGCAAAATGCCGATTTATTAGTAATGTTGTGACTGTACTCGTCACTGTACGGTGATGGGGCTTGCAAAGCCACGGCCGTGTTGTCATTACCGGGAGCCCGGGTTACGGGATGTAGTACCAGCCCTAGCGGGGCTTGGGTGAGCGCTGGTCAGCGCGGACGCACCACGTACAGTGTGCGGTGCGGGCTCCCGGTGAGGGAGCGAGAGGGAGCGTCAGCCAGCCAGGGTTACGTTGGGGCATGATACGCGGGTTGACCTGCTGTCACGTGACCGGATGATATTGGAGGGGGGCCACCGGTGGACGGGGGCCGTGGGGCGGTCACGTGGTCTAAAGGAGCTCTTGGGAACCTTCGAGAAAGAGCTCGAGAGACCTGGAAGGTAGGGGGGGGAGACGAAGGGCGGAGCCAGCCCCAGCCCGGGAGCTTATAACGAGGGCTCCGTGAGGAGCTCGGGGTCCTTCGTGTGCTGGTGTTACAAAGATCCACGTCGGGGAGAAGAAGTCTCTAGCCACGCGGTCCGGGACCCAGCTCGTGGTCCGGACTGGGATAGTGAACAGTGTCTAGTTCTGCCGTAGCGTGGTTAGATGGGCATTCGAGACCCGAGTTTAGATTGTGGTGTGTTAATGTATAATAAATGGTGTTGCTCCCAAGATAACGTCTGCGACTCAGTTGGACTCACTACACTAATAAACCCCAATGATCCGATCGAAATTAGGGATTTCGATCGGATCATTGAGGGGGCACGTGCCACCCTACCCCCCCCCCCCCCCCCACTGGCTCCGCAAGTGCCTGAAACGAATGGAGCTAAACTGCGTTTCACATGTTACTCCTTTACATACATTTTGAACAGGCCATTTAATAATTGGTTATAAATCATCATGAGCCGTGATCCACTGCTGGATAAAGACTTCCCCTGAGCCGTCGCTGGCAATAAATTACGGCATTTTTAAAGCTGAAATCTCATTCAGATAGCACCAAAAAAGCCACGGTCCTCCAATTAACCACACCTGAAGTCTACAGGTCTTGAATGTTTCGACACTTGTGGTTACGAGCAGCAGCTTCTCCATTGCCCTAACTCTCCCAAACCCTCGTCAGTTACTGGCGGCTCGGTGGTGCTATAGGCTCTCACAGCTGCTGGCCGCGGTTGTTTGAGGTCTCGTCCACCTTGCGGTCGTACTCCAGGCGCAGGTCCTCGAGTTCGCCGCTGTCCCCGAAGGCCCCCCACTCCATGTTGATGCACATGCGGCCCTCGTCCCCCTCCACCAGATCCACGTTGCGCATCTCCTCCATGTAGCACGTGTTGCACCCCGTGCCTGCACGCGCTCGCATGCAGGCACGCGCCACTGCGGTAAGTTTTATGGGGGTGGCGGGGAGGCCTTGGATAGTTTCAGGGACCCCTTGCTGTGCAATTCAATTCCTTCCGTTTGCTGTTTTTACCGCCACCCATGCCACGTGACAAACATGATTTGGTGACTAATCATGGTTATTTCAGATCTGCTTTTTAAAACGTGATATGCCCCTGTACTGGTCCCCTTCCGTTGTAATGTGCACTGATGCCTCCTTTATTGAGGGCGATATTGGCATGTAAAACAAATATTGGTTGATGGTATACAATTATGAAGCTAAATCACCATCACCCAGAGATATGATTCTACCACTCTCAGCCTCTGTTTCTGCGAAGAAGGCATATTGCCTAAAGCGCTGCCTGTTATATATCTGTTTTATTAGATTTTATAACAATATGTTTTATTTAAAGCTTTCGTAACTGCAGGGATTCATATTCTTGGTTCTTTCGGTAAAGTCACGTAGAAGGGAAACAATAAAATAATAAAAATATAAAACAATAAAATTATCACGACGTTTCGACTGCAACACAAGCAATCATCATCAGGTGTGAAAACCACAGCAAGAAAATTTGAAAAAAGTGGCGTTTTTTTAACGTTAGCACCACGGAGAGCGATTTGGCAGTTATTCAGATGGACGAGTCCATCTATGTTCGGAAAAGAGGAGGGGGGAGACGAAAATAATGGATGCGGTCTAAAAGCCTCCGTAAGCGTGAACAATCAATTAAGACCCGAAATGGTTTATCAAATCCTTCCAATGATTGCTAAGCCAGAATCCATCTTCTCGGTTGAAATTGTCTCTGTGTTTGTATATGTGGATAGCCTCATGAACGAATCTCTCATGGTAGCCAGATGGCTTGCAGAGAACCTCTGTTTCGGAGAAGTCAATGTCATGTCAGCCTACTGAATTATAACAGTGATCTGCCATGGCCGAGGTGTTGGTCCTACCGCATTTTAGGTCTGCTTTGTGTTCACGGATGCGGTCCGAGACATGTCGTTTGGTTTCTCCAATGTAACTACTGCCACAGAGGCAACTTAGTTTGTAGACGCCAGGGTACTGTATGTCCGGAATCACATCTTTTACAGATGGAACCAGATCACGGATTTTATGTAATGTGTTGAATCGGACCTGGATCTTGTGTTTATTCAAGATTTTGTAGATCTTTTTTTGTGATCCCCGCAATGTAGGGTAAAGTGATGTTCCATGATGACAGTGGCATTACCCTTGTCGGCTTAGAGGATGACAATGTCATCCCTCTTTTTTAAATTTATATAATTAAAAACGCTCATCTTTGCTGAGGTTGCTAGCTGGCATTTTAGTGTTCGTCCCATCGTCTCTACTATCAACTCCCCCACCTACAAACTGGCTCGTTTTCTGTCTGAAATCCTGCGGCCTTTCACTGGAAAAAAACACCTCTGCGGTACAAAATTCTACTCACTGGTATTGACAATCAAGGGTATTTCCCTGTCCCCAGACGACCTGCTTGTCAGTTTTTATGTCGTTTCCTTATTCACCAAAGTTCCTGTACCTGACACCATCGCAATCATTGAAGACTTGGTTCATCAAGGACAAAACACTGAGGTACGCCCCCTGGTGAGACACTGCTTAACCAATACATACTTCACTTGGAATGGAACTTTCTACAAACAAACTGAGGGCACCCCAATGGGCTCCCCCCTATCTCCGGTTGTAGCCAACATTTTCATGGAGAAATTTGAAACTGACGCCATCCAGACTGCCACTCTGCGCCCAACCTTATGGAAGAGGTACGTGGATGGCACTTTTGTCATCTGGCCACATGGCCGGCCTGCTCTAGACCAATTCCTCGACCACATCAATTCCATACACCCAGCCATCAGATTTACCATGGAAGTCGAAAAAGATGGCAAGCTACCTTTTTTGGATTTCCTAATAAAAAAGAGACCTGATGGTTCAATGAGCCACTCTGTCTAGAGGAAAGCTACCCATACAGATGCTTACCTGAAACCGAATTCCCACCACCATCCATCCCAGAAGAATTCCCTCATCAAGACTCTGCACCATAGAGCCCAATGCATATCTGACCAGGAACACATAGTCAGTGAACTCAAGCACGTACACCAAGCTCTTAAGGCTAATGGTTACTCCGACTACACAATCTGCAAAGCTATCACTCCAACCATGAAGAAGAACGCTCTTGAGGAGCCTTTCAAAGCCATCACTTTACCCTACATTGCGGGGATCACAAAAAAGATCTCCAAAATCTTGAATAAACACAGGATCCAGGTCCGATTCAACACATTACATAATATCCGTGATCTGGTTCCGTCTGTAAAAGATTTGATTCCGGACATACAGTACTCTGGCGTCTACAAACTAAGTTGCCTCTATGGTAGTAGTTACATTGGAGAAACCAAACGACATGTCTCGGACCGCATCCGTGAACACAAAGCAGACCTAAAACGTGGTAGGACCAACACCTCGGCCATGGCAGATCACTGTTATAATTCAGTAGGCTCACATGACATTGAATTCTCCAAGACAGAGGTTCTCTGCAAGCCATCTGGCTACCATGTGAGATTCGTTCATGAGGCTATCCACATATACAAACACAGAGACAATTTCAACCGAGAAGATGGATTCTGGCTTAGCAATCATTGGAAGGATTTGATAAACCATTTCCGGTCTTATTTGATTGTTCACGCTTACGGTGGCTTTCAGACCGCATCCATTATTTTCGTCTCCCCCCTCCTCTTTTCCGAACATAGATGAACTCGTCCATCTGAATAACTGCCAAATCGCTCTCCGTGGTGCTAACATAAAAAAACGCCACTTTTTTCAAATTTTCTTGCCGTGGTTTTCACACCTGAAAATGATTGCTTGTGTTGCAGTCGAAACGTCGTGATAATTTTATTGTTTTATATTTGTATTATTTTATTGTTTCCCTTCTACGTGACTTTACCGAAAGAAGCACGAATATAACAGTATTATTGGCACATAACATACGGTGACCGTATGGCTCTCATGATCAAATTACTGCTACCGTATTGCATTTCAATCATATAGCTGCATATATGGCTCTCATGATCAAATTCCTGCTACCGTATTGCATTTCAATCATATAGCTGCATATATGGAATATGGGGCCCTAGGCTGTGACCCCTAAAGCCCATGCATGCACGCACGCACATGGACACCGTCAACCGAGGGCAGCAAGGCTGCGTGTTAATGGCCCTACGTAGGCTCTGGTTCATTGTGACTGGCACGAGTGCAGGTGGAGCGTTTGAATTGCTGGCGGTTTTACACGCAGAAGGGTTCGTAGGTGGAGATGCAGCCAAGCAATTTTTTTTCTGCTCACATCACTGCTGCAAGAAGGGCTTCCATTTGAGTTAGCTCTAGAGTTAGCTCTAGTGGGAGCCCTTCTCGAGCGTATTTTGGCCTACTCTTCCACGCTGATCAGACGTCTTGCAATAGGCAGGAGTACCCACACTTTACGCCAACAAGCTCGTCATGCTCCTTGACTAACAGTTTAGTAATTTTTACACGCTTTTATTTAACTCACTCCGTCTGTTGTCGCATCCTCAAAAAATCTTGTAACTCAATTTTAACCCACTTCCCAATGTGCTATCGACTGAAAACTTGGTATACTTATGTCATACTGATGACAAGACTATATTCTTTAATTAATAATGATAAACATATATTTTTTTTACATTTTACACGCTTTTATTTAACTCACTCTGTCTGTTGTCATACCCTCAAATCTTGTAACTCAATTTCAACCGTCTTCCCAATGTGGTATCAACTGCAAAATTGGTATACGTATGTCATACTGATGCCAATACTATATTCTATCATTAAAAATTTTAAAAATATATTTTTAAACAATTTTTCTTACGGGTCTAATTGTCCACGCTCAACTCACGTTGGCTGTGATTGGCCACGGTCAACTTACGTTATGGCAAGCCTCGGGGCCACTTCCTGGAGTCGTGGAGTTCTGCCATTACTCGTACGGTACATTTCATTAAAGCGTGTTTAAAAAGAAGTATTTTTAAATATTATTTTTTACTGCTGGGTTGATAGAAGTGAGACAGCAACTTTGGATTGTAGTTACTCGGTGATTAATATGACACGAGTAAATGTGAATGTTAGTTCAAATACGTATAACCCATTTAAAAACAAAAATTTGCTTTGGAAAGATACTAACTGATAATAAAGATGGGCCGATAACATCTACCTCGGTACTTGAATTGTTATTAACTGCCTAATCACGTACATCTGTAAAGGTGCAGGGGTCATGGTCATCTTACCCACAATCATTCCAATCTCCGTGTTGTGGTCCTCATAGTAGCACGAGATCATGGTCGCGACCGTGTCATTCACCATGGCCACCACGTCCATATCAAAGTCCTGGCCAGGAGTACAATTATTCACATTTATTCACATTGGCCCTCCTCAACCCTGCATCGGGACCTCATTTTAAAATTAAGTGGGAAGGGGGGTGTATAACAATAACTTAGGGGGGTTACAACACAGTCAATGTTAAATTAACTTTAAACGAATAATAAATGCTGAAGAGAATGATTAACTAATATTTTTTGTATAGATGATACCGTGTCAGCAGTGGTACACAAGCACAACAAATATCTCAACACGTTCGTTAGCAACACTGCCTTGACAAAAAAAGGATATAAAGGTGACGTTTCGGGCATTGGGCCTTCTTTACAGCACAAAGACAGGCCAGAGGTAAAGTCACTCTTAAGGGCTGGGCTCAATCAATTGAATCAATCTTTATTTTTGTGTGCCAATATTGCCCTCAATAAAGCCGTCATCGGTGCACATTGCAGAGGAACGGGAACGGTGCAGGTGCATGGAGCAATTCAATGCGCCGTTGTTTATCTGTGCAGACTTTTACCCCTCGTCGCTTGATTGCCTCTCGAAGCAGTTCCACCACATTGTTGCCCTCCGCTCCTGTTGCCGTAAACCCTTTTGTCCAGTTTATAAGGATTCCCTGCAACAACAACAAAAACAGCATCTTCAACTGATGTTCAACACGGTCGCTTTGAGTATTGCAAGTTTCAGTTGTACGTACGGACGTAGAACGCCTTTCGCACCGTACGTAGGCAACCGTGCTAATCGGAGGTGCATGGCAGGTTTTGCCTGTGGTAGGCTCACCTTGTCCAGGTCCACGTGTTTAACTGGGAAGGAGAAGGTGAAGCCCAGAGGTAGCTTCTTGTGCTTCATGTTGAGTTTGTCCAGGTAGTTGGCAATGCACTCTGCTATGTAGTCAAACAACTGTGGAATACCAAGCGAGTAACACAAACGCATTGTCTTCCACAGGGCATAGCAGTGGACAGCTCGTGACCACCCTCGGTACCTTACCGTACTTCCTGATTGGTTATGTTGTGACTATTCACACAATGGAGGGATGGAGGTGCGACGCTCACAAAAGCGTGGGGAGCACAGATGGTACATCTGCCAGCCATCTCAGTGAGTTAACCCAAAACACTTTTAACACCTCACCAGGTCTCAAAGTGTACCTAGCCTGGCAAAAGTGCTGTAGGTGATCTAATTGTGAAATTGTTATTATTTTGTTATTGTAATTTTTTTTAATTATTTGTTCTATCTACGTAGCTTTACCGAAAGACCCAAAGAATATGATCACTAAATGGTGAATGACGACTGTTTTTTATATTCTTGGTTCTTTCGGTAAAGTCACTTAGAAGGGAAATGATAAAATTATAAAAATATAAAACAAAATTCTCACGACGTTTCGACTGCAACACAAGCAATCATTATCAGGTGTGAAAACCACAGCAAGAAATGTTCTTGAAGGAGAAGGTGAAGCCCACAGCAAGAACATTTTCTTGCTGTGGTTTTCACACCTGATGATGATTGCTTGTGTTGCAGTCGAAACGTCGTGATAATTTTATTGTTTTATATTTTTATTATTGTATTGTTTCCCTTCTACGTGACTTTAGGAAAGAACCAAGAATATGAATCCCTGCAGTCACGAAAGCTTTAAATCAAGACGACTGTTTTGTTGTTGTGTTTCCAGTATCCAGCACATATTTGTTGTGTTTGTTTCCAGTATGGGTGTGTCAGTGGGTTATTGTATCGGTGATCATGAGCACTAACAGTGGCATATACCTGAACCGGTCCTGGGTCTCCTCCAGGTCGACTCAGCCTCAAATGAGTAGCTGGTGCAGTGTATAAAACATCAGCACTGGGGAGACAAAGGCGGCTGAGCATGGTGGTGGCCACACACCCCCTCGTGTACCGTGCAGGCTCACACAAGCGCTCGCTAACAGCATTTTACCCAACAGTCTGCTAAAGGCTATACGGGGGATCTTTATCTTGCATTAGCAATGCCACCCAGCCAGCCACGCAATCTCAGTATATCTCCATAATGTTTAATGTGAAAACTGATGCTAGTTCTTCAGAGGTAAAATTTGCATTGTGTTCATGTTAACCGTGGTATTATCTTTACTCCATCATTATGTAATCACTTATGGTCTTGTTTACATGCGATTCAGGAAAAGACAACGGGGTTTTGTCAGCTGTGTGCTGTCCGTTTTCCCTGTAGGTCGATCTCCGTGTAAACTGCACAAACCATTTCACGCATCATTTAATATGTTGACACAGGAACAAGCACATTTGGCTCGTGAGACTTCTGTTCCCTTAACTGAACTGCTCACGCGACATTAGGCAAAACAAAGCTTGCCTGTGGAGATGGAGAGTGTGTGGTGCATGTGTCGGGTTATGAGTGGAAATATTTTTTAAAGGACTAAAAGGATACATGAGCAGAACCCCATTCTGTCTTCACATCATGCTACTATAAAATATATATGCTTTGAGTTTCCAGGCTGGCTGCTGACTAGGCTCATCTCCACCCTAACAATAACGCTCTTGTTACTGGCTGGGGGCCGTTGCCACCGAAACTAGCTGGGTAACTGGCTAAATGCTATTTTGCATGTAATAAATAAGTATTGCATTGAAACGATGGAAGCAGTTCTAAAGTCGTAATAATAGATGGCGACATTGAAGAGGTGAGAGTAACTAATACAGAAGACTGACACGGTTAAGTTAAAATTGATCTCACTCTTCAATTTGCGCTCCTATTAATGCAATTCTTTTTTCCAGAATATTATTTTAAAGCTGTAGAATATAAAGCAAAAACTTCAATACATACTATATTGCTATTTTATTATTACATAACAACGCAGATTACTTTTAGTGTTCCAAGTACATTGATTGTGAGAAGATTGTGCAAATGACAAATATCTCTTATTTTCCACTGCACAGCAATGGGTTCTCTAGATGTATAAATAAATACATAAACGGAACTCCTTCCCAGAACAATTTTATCAAGCAGCATTTGTTTCCACAAGCAAACTCTCGATGCATTATACAGGTTTTTTTTGGGGTTGGATGGCATAAATATATAAATGTGTCGTTATACCCGCCGCCACCCGACAGCCAATGAGTAAGGTTTGTCACGTAAACAGAACATGCCAATTCGTTACTAGTGTAATGGCCGGGAGTAGTAATTACTGTCATGGCTGCATGACATTATGCCTTATTATAAGGGGGGCGTATCTGGGGTAAAGGTGAAAGGCGGAGTCAGTCGAGAAGCTCCGGGAACCAGCTCGAATGTTCTGGAAAGGGGGCGTGGCCAGAGGTGGAGCTTGGCCGCGCCGGGACAGATATAAGAGGGACCGAACCAGAGGTTCGTGGCTGTTGCGGGTTCTAGGTCCTGGCTGCGTCGCTGCTCGCCATCATCTCTTCGTCTCCGACCAAGTGGCTGATATTCTGGAAGACTCCCTCCGTCGCCGTCATCACACTGGTCAAACAGCTTGCGTAGCGAAGCCGGAGATGGGGCTACGTGTTAGGATCGCCTTTGTGTAGCTGCGTTACACAATGTATTGCCCAGTGTGCTCTTAATAAATAAGAAGCCTTCTACTCGATGTGTCTCGGAAGTCGCTCACTACACTAGTACAGCACACTGGTGTGTTGGAGAGCGATGCCACAACATTTACAATCTGAGTACGACGTTTCGCCAGTGAGTACAACTAGCTTCATCAGGCGACAGCCAGATTTGTGGAGAAGTCCACCTGTTTCGTTTCTTAAATACTCTGGATGGTTATGATCTTCTGGGTCTCGTCAGCAAGAATCAGGGGTGCCACAGTGTCGAAATTTTATCTCCTTCGCGTGGTATGGAGGTCGTGGGTTCGATCCCGACCCTGACGCCTGTATATTTGGATAGTGCATGTTCTCCCCATAGTCACGTGCATTTTTCTCACGGTCCTCCAGTTTTCCCCTCCACATTTATAAACATGCGTTTAGAGTATTTGGCAGCTATCAATTTCCACCTGATAAGCCACCTCGTAAAGCTATATAATTTGTGACCAGGTCACTTCTGAAAAATACCTAATCGCTCAGTGTGCTTTACCTAGTAATTTGTTTTTATTGTGGTTTAATAGAATCCGGCAAATGCTGTTGGATTTACTGATGTTTTTGGCAAGAGCACTGAATATAAATTATGGGACTCCATTCAGGGCAAAAATCTAAAAGCAATACTTTACAGAAACCCGTTATGGCACGTTCACGACTGACCATCTCTGCAGTGCCCGTCATGACGTCCTCAGGGATGCAGTAGAGCTCATTCTTGGTCTCCACCCTCCACTCGCCCTCCTCGTTCTGTCCCACTTTCACGAGGATAACTCGGAAGTTTGTTCCACCCAGGTCCAGCGCTAAGAAGTCACCCACCTCTGCAAAGGAGGTTCACACCAGTGCCCGGTATGAGCCATATCCGTAGACACAGCAGGTACGGTACAGATACTGTTAATTGAAACAGGGAATAAAAAGGTGAACACGTAGGCTTTCGCGACCAGCATTATTCATAATAAAGGCTTTCGGGTTAGATCGCGTAAGTATAAATGTGTCGCAACCCTCCACCACCCAAAACGGCCAATCAATAAAAAATGTGTCACGTTATCAAAACGCCAATTAGTTACTCCTTCAGCCCACCGGTGTATTTGAAGAGTGAATCCACAACATTTAGAATTTGAGTACGATGTTTCGCTGGCAATTACATCCAGCATCTTTTGGGCGATTTGCCAGAATAGTGAAGCCATCCACCTGCTTCCCGTCTTAAATAGTGTAGGATGACGTCATCATTATTGAACCCCATCACGTTTCGAGATCAGAGGCGGAGGTAGGGTATTGTAATTATATAATAGTTTAGTAATCAGGTAATTAGTATGTGATTCCTCTATAAGTAAAATAATTATAATATGCTTCCAGGCTGCGCTAAGTCTGTAGCTATCAGAGCGGTTAAAATTATTGGTATTTCTCTCAATTTCTATGGATTCTCGAATTAGTCTTGGCCAGTCATAATTAGTTTTGCATAACACTTCAACCTTATCAAAATCTATTGAGTGTCCTTGTTGGCAAGAATGTTCTGCCACTGCTGACAGTTGTGTTTGAGATAATGTAATGATCTTTGGTGTTCTTTTAGTCTTACGCTAATGTTACGTCCCGTCTGTCCAATATAGCATTTACCGCATTAGCAATTGATCCGATATACGCCTCATTATGAGGGAATAAAAAGCATGCGAACGCACGGATTCTAAAACACTTTTTAACGTGCGTTTGTCCTTCGGAAGTAATTCATCAGCAATGATCGCATTACCTTCAAAGTTGTACAACGACATCGTCACTTGGCGCATGATGCGAAGGTGTCATGTGTGATGACGTCATCGGGAGGGGGAAGGTGACATGACATCATTGCCTTGGCCGGTAAGGCTTATCCTCCACACGCTGGAATTTATCTCCATATTTTGATCAACGTGGCTGGATTTCTCTAGCGAAAATGTCTAATAGCAACGCAACTTTATTCGAAGCCCTTCGTTTACACTGGATCTTCTTTATGACAGTTATCGTGTACCCCCATTACAGATCGACATACGAACAGACCGAATGTGTTCAATTAACTTTAAACCTCAGACGCAAATGCTTAAAATAAATAATTTACACAGCTCACCAGAGCCGTCAGGGGTGGAGCGGACGTAGGTGGGCAGCATTTTCACACTGGCTTCCTGGTGGGTCTCCAGCCGAAGCCCTCGCTCCATCTCCCTGCGCATCCTGTGCATCACCTCCTCCAGCTCCTGTTGGTCCAGCACAAACTCCAGCAGCAGCTGCTCCACCTGCTGCCCCGCACGCCCAGACAACAGACACACACACACCGTTGCAGCATTCGCAATCCACTTAAGCAACATCCGTGTGCTGTTGACTCCCTGCGCCTGTTTATGCTCATGCATTGGCACCGTCCAGCGACTATTGCTTTCGAGCGAACCACCCCCCCCACCACCACCCCGTCAATCTACGCTTAGTGGGAGGTCGCTCTTTCTCCCCAGCTGGGCCCGATTGGAAAGTTATCTGTGCTCTTGACTCCCTGCCATCGTTCAAGTTCAGACTGAAGATCTTGTTGTTACTCTTCCTATGACTGACTGCCTCATTTCCCTTATTATAGATTTGCGCATTGTCTCTGTACCCGTGCATTGAGATTCAATTGTACTGAGATGATATATACATCTTTGAATTGTATGATATAAACAAGCAATGAAAATGTTTTCAAAGGTCAAGAACCTCCCAAAAAGTTCTCAGAAATAGGACAGGGGCTCAAGATGTTTCCGTTGACTAATTTCCATTATTTTTTCATGTTATATTTTGAAGGCATAAGTTACCATCCAATGTATTTAAACAAATATATATTATAATGTTCCTTTGAATATCCTTGATCGCAATGTATTCATAAACATAAAGGTATCACCATGAATGTGCAAAGCATTAACCATCTCAGAAGAACGTGACAAAGAAAGCTCTGAAGACTCGTTGAAGATACATGTGCTGCTGGATAAAGGCCTCACTCTACCATTGCCATACAACACAGTCTCACGATGCTACAACCAATATCTCTCCTGTGCAGAAGCCCGTCTCAATGATTCACCTGCATGGTGGTTGACCTCTCAGACATGTTTTCTCCTTTGGATGTCATTCTATCACCAGCCTCGTCCATTAGCCACTCATGATGTATACTGCCTAAGCTACTTACTTTCCTTAATTTTCAATGTGAAGTCTACCGTTTGTATTTGTTCCATGATCCATGTATTCCTCTTTCTGCACCAGTGTAAATCCAAACACACAAACTCTCCATACTTCTCTGTGCACTTTTAAGCTTTTTTCCCAATTTTATTTGTCATTGATGTGTCTAACCCATATGTCATAAGCATGTAATTTATATTGATTGCTCATAATTTCTTAGAGTGCACTAGCATGTTGCCATTTATTATCAAATTAAGCTTTACAAAAGTACTACATCCTACTCTCATTCACCCCTTAATCTCATTATTGTTTTATTTGGATCTGCCTTCGATATTTACCATAGATATGCATATCCTGCTGCGTTTAAGTTTATCGTGTGTATATTGTGCCAAGCTCTGTAGCCTTCTTCATTTTGTGAATAATATTCTTGTAGTTCACTTCCATTAGTTATTTGTAATAACTACATCATCAGCAATTCTGTAATGGTGCATCCTTTCTCCACTTGTTTTTGCCCCCAATTTCTTCAATACAATTTTTAAAAAATATCTTCTACAGTTGATGTAAATAGCCATGAACATTGTTATCTCCTTCTCCGATTTATACGCTGCTACTTTATGCAATATATGGTGATGTGCCTCTTTCACATCAGTGTATATATTTAATTAAGGCTTGTGAGAGCTTGTGGTATGCATTTTTATAGCCTCAAAAAAAGGCAGGCATGTTATTTGATGTTCGTTAGTTTTTTTCCAGGGCCTGATTCATCTTATGTATTTGTCAACTCTCAGAAAACGTGATAAATACAGCTTGTTCTCTTGGTGGGTTGGCATCTAAATTGTCCGTTATCCAGTTCTCTTGATATTCATGAACAATGTACCGTATATATTTCAAGTACGAACTATGTACAAACTATAATATAACAAGCTTGGCAAATGCAAAAGTCTAAGCAAATCTGCCTACAAGTTGCCATATATGGTTGCGTATATTTTGTGTTAAACCCTAGGCGTAAACTTTTTATCACCTTGCAGTGATTGTAAAAAGATGTTGTAACGCCTCAGAGTGCAAAGGTAACAATAAAAATATAGGATTCTTTTAACATAAAACGCATGCGCAGGTCTTACATCTATGATCGAATTCACTCTCAAATGTTATATGAAGGTGCACATTATTTGCTTTTGTTTGATTCCAACATTGCCTGTACAAAACAACAAACATTTTCATCCTTAAGTGTATCTGCATATATATTTTGATTATAACCTTGCTGGCATTGCATTAAACGTACCTTCCTGTTTCAATATCAATTTTGTGGTTGTCATATATTCTACACATGTCCTTCCAAAGTTCTCTAAATGCGAAAGATGTAACATTGAAAAATTACCGTAGCATATTAAGTTATTTTGCACAAATTCACAGACAGAATCTCACCTCCGCCTCTTGCTCCATTGAAATTCTTCTATAATGATGGTCGTTTCCGATATATATAAAAAAACAAGATACTTCAATCAGGTAACTTTCGTGACTAAGGACATCCAGGCGCAATCATCTCCTTTAGCTTGCTGCCTCCACGTCGTGACACGCTTCGGCAAGGGTCTCACGCTGCAAGTGAAGAGTGTCACACGTGTTGCCCAACCCCTTTTGGCGGCACTGCAATAACATATGGCAGCAGACCAGAGACCTCCCCAACTGGGTCCCCTTGAGCAGCCACCCCCAAAAGGGCAGCACCATGGTAACATGTTTATAACCTCAGTGCTCTCAACAAGTAGAATTGAATATGTATGTATGGTCCACAATGAGATGGGGTTTTTTTATTTACTTTGTCTTATGCCTGATGTTAAAATTGCACTCCAGCCAGGAATGTGTTGCTTCTTCAGTGACAATTGGGTGACTAAAGAAAATGGGAAAGTCATTATTTTCACATTGTTTATGAATAAGAACCATAATTAATAATGTCTGATTTTGGTAACCCCGTTGAACGTGATGGCCATCACGTTGTCCTTACTTGCTGTGCAATTGAATCCAGCAAGTGGCCATGAATGCCACTTGATTTAATCCAGACCAACCCATTTGAATCCATATTAGGAAAAGAGCCACCCCCAACAAGGATATGAACACCACTGGATGCAAATCCCTCCATCTGTCACGATTCTACCTGTGTGTGAGGTCCCACGTGTCACAACACCAGTTGGATATGACCCTCCCAGATATCCAACTTCCTCTGAATATAACCCCCCCTACCCTAGGCGTCGCAACCCCCTCTAGGATACAAGTACGGTTACCTCTGCAAAGACATTTAAATGTATTCCAATTCAATGTTCCTCGCATCTATGCTGGATAAAATAAATGCTGTATTAAGTTTAATGCGTAGGCTTCCCGGAACCAATATGATTCATCATTGATTTTTGGGTCACGTAAGTAAAATGTGTCGTAACTCCACTTCCACCCGACACGGCCAATTAATAAAGGTATCACCGTGAACAAACGTACCAATGTATTACTGCTTCCGCACACCGGTGTGTTGGTGAGCAACCCGCAATATTTAACTAACTGGTACGACATTTCGCTGCTATTTGCAACCAGCATCATCAGGCAGTTTCCATAAATCTGAAATATCCAGGGTTATGATCCGAGTGGCCAGTTTGCATGTTGAAATTCCGAACCTTAGGTGAAAAACAATTCTCTAGTTTAGCGTATAAAGCGAAAACAAAATCAAACAAACTTGAGGCGTCGTATGCAGTGAAACATTTTAACTCTCAAATTGGGAATTGTGTAATGCATGCGAGTTGCCAATGGGTGGCGTGAGATTGACTAGTGGCGTGGTGTGACCCCGAGTCTCACGCCTTGATGCGTGAGAGCCTGAGGCTCACGTGTCCATGAATCTCGACTTAAAGCTTTCATGACTGCAGGAATTCATATTCTTTGGGTCGTTCGGTAAAGTCACGTAGATAGAAAAAATAATAACAATAACATAATAAAAATGAAAACAAAGTGAATAAAAATAATAAAAATATCACGACGTTTCGATCGCGACGCAAGCAATCGTCATCAGGAGAAAAAAGAAGGGGAAAGCTGCTGAGGCAGACTGTTTTAAAGGTTTGAAATGGGCGTAGCCCAAGGGCCATACACAAAGTGGGCGGGGCTAGTGATGTTAATGTGAGAACTTTAACATGCTAATTTCTGATTTTACATTAACAGGTTAAATATCTCACACTAACGCAGCCTCCGTTGCTCTTGTCCTCGATGTGGCGGCGGCGGCTCTGCGATCTTACATTGACATGCTAATCTCTCACAATACAATGGCCACCTTCGCGCTCTCGTCGTGGAGGCAGCTCTCCGATCTTACATTGACATGCAAATGTCTCACATTAACATAAATAGCCCCGCCCACTAGGTTTATGACCTTGATGCGTGAGAGCGTGAGGCTCACGTGTGTCCATGTGAGACTCACGCCTTGATGCGAGTGGCCTCATGCTCCTCGGGGGGACTCTGCCCCCACCCCGCAACCCCTCACCACCCACCCCGCCCAACCTCCACACCCCTCCAACCCCCCCACCCCTCCAACCCCCCCAGCCCCCCCACCCCTCCAACCCCCCCACCCCCCCAGCCCCCCCTACCCATCCACCCCCCCACCCCTCCAACCCCCCCAGTTTAATTTATTTGGTATAGCCCTGTGAGCCATTCGGCTCTTGAATCGGGTGCAACCGCCACAAACAAAAACACAAACAAGAAAAACATCTTAAAGTGACTACGTGACTGTGCAAACAGAAAATCCAGGAAAAAAACATCAAAATATTCCTGAAAAAGCACCGTACACCAACGCTGTGTGCAAAAATCCCAGTGGGATGCAAGTCAAACAACAACAACAACCACAAGACAACTTTAGATTAAGGCCATCAGTCTAACTCCGTACTACAACAAACAAACATGGCCAAACAAAAAAAACGTTTTCGAAATCACCAAAATAAAGCCATAAAAGCAATGTAACAGTGATCATAGGAACTGTGACCAAATTTTCACAATAAACGCCATAAACAACATGTACCACCAAACCCTGCGGCCATAGCTGGCTGCATAAGTCACTCCACAATAGTCGGAGTATCACGTTTTTCAATGCACCTTTAAGATCAGCACACTAAATCAAAATACAAATAATATTTTGCAGCGGTCATCCGGAGCGAAACATTTTATTTTAGGCCACTGAGTAGCAGTGGCAGCTCGGGGTGTACAACTCCCCCCAACCCCCTCCACCCCTCCAACCCCCCCTCCAATCACCCCCACCTCCAACCCCCTCAACCCACCCCCACCCATCCAACCCCCACCCCTCCAACCCCATCAACCCACCCCTCCAGCCCCCCCCCACCCCTCCAACCCCATCAACCCACCCATCAAACCCCCCCACCCCTCCAAACACCCCCACCTCCAAACCCCCTCGCCCCCCCACCCATCCAACCCCCACCCCTCCAGCCCCCCCCCCATCCAACCCCCCCACCCCTCCAAACCTCCCCCACCCCTCCAACCCCATCAACCCACCCCCACCCCTCCAGCCCCCACCCCACCAGCCCCCCCACCCCTCCAACCCCATCAACCCACCCCCACCCATCAAACCCCCCCACCCCTCCAAACACCCCCCCCACCCCTCCCCCCGACTCCCTTAGCCGTCATGGCGCGGCTGTCGGGCTGGACTCTGGGCGAGCTGCAGCTCGACCAACTCAGCAGTGCCTCTGACCACGTAAGTCGAAGCCTTCTTCACGTGAGGGAGAAACACAAACCACGCACCACGCGTACACATTGTGAATTGTGACCACAACATTTGATCTCACACACAGAGACACGTTAACATGGGGACCTTAAGACAAAACGCGGATGCCGTTCTAGGCGAGACTTGGTGTGCGAGCCGCCTTCGTAATTGCTGCACAGTGAACAGCATCCGTTTATTTAGTCGTAGATAATGATTTATTTGCCGAAAGGATGCTCGCTATAATCTGTGGCAACCACAAATTCATTTGTGCCGGGGATTCGGCGAGTGAAGTCGGGGGCGCGACTCTCGGATTGAGGCCCAGTGCCGGGCCCTCATCGGCACTGCCACCGCCGGCTTTCTTGTTCTTGTTCTTCATCATCATCATCAGCAGCACTAGCCGTGATCGATCCACTGCTGGACGAATCTACCTCGCACCCAGGGTGAGGAACTCACGGCCCGCGGGCCCTATCCGACCCGCTACTTCATTTAATCCCTGGGCACATTGTGATACGGCTGTGAAACCAGGCCTCAAAACGATATCTCTCGGGTCATTGTGTTAAAAGCATCTTGAGCAGCACCAATGGGCGTTACTTGAGGGGCAGTATTTTTCACTCTGTCAAACAAAAAAAACACGTGCTGCTAAGTTGTCAAGCGCAAGGTCACCTGTAAAGGTGAGCCCTAATCATTTGCTCGAGTACTTGTTGGACGACGGTAAGGTGTATGCTCATTGTTGCGGTGGCTTCCCCGAGGCATTTGATCGACCTGTTTAGCTCTCGGTGAGGCTAAGATGGACATTTCGTTTGGGCTGTGCAACTTAGGCGATGGATATACTTCGCATCACTCGCCAATGATGTCCTTGGTCAAGAATGAAAGGTGGCCAAGTTCATAGCTCAGTGCGCTAAGCGCGTTCCACAGGACAGTATAAAACATTTGTAATCGGGTCGAGCTGGTTTTTGTTTTGTTTTGTTAAAATCGAAACTCGGAAAAAGATGGAATCACAAGATGGATCCTTCGTCAGAAGTTCAGCCTACTGCTGTATAATGTTCTGTTAAATGACGAAGGTGGTGAGTTTTTCACTTGTGTTTGTAACATAGATTTATAAAACATGCTCTGGTAAGCTAAATGAACAAAAATCACCAAGTCAACGCAGCATCACTAAATACTAGAGGTTTAAAAAAAAAGTGTTTTAGCGCTCTTGCATAAGGCCGTGACACTTCTTTGCACTTTAACAGAGGGCTGCATCAGGATTGTGTTAGAACTCAGAGCTGTGCCACGATTATATAACAATGCGTTATGTTTCCGTTGAGTGTCATCGGTTACCTAACATTCACTTGACTTTTTGAAGTAAAATCTCTTCAAAATAGTTTGCATGTAAAAAACGTTTTTTAAATTCTAAGATGCTTTAGTTAGGATCATTTTGCAATGTGATGTGGTGTGATGAGACACCAGAGTGTACAGATGTCGCTATTAATTGTAATCTATATTGTGTGTCTCCATAACATTTTTTTCAGGAAGGATTTTTGCTCGGTGATGTGAGAGAAGATGAAGTCAGAAGCATCAGTGATTCGAACATCAGCAATGTAGAAAGCAAGCAAGTTTTAAGTAAGTGCACCAAAAAAACATGCAATATTCACTGAGGAAAATGTAATTACAGTGATTGAAATTGTACGATTTTTATTTTGTTTTCACAGGTATTTACAGTCATATCCCATGCACTAGATTGGCCAGGTGAGTGAGTTCCTTAATAATGCGACTGCAATTGAGTTGTTTTTCGATATCGAGATTTGTATGACTGCCAATACAAAGCTTTTACAAATACCTCTTGTGTAATACTTTTGCTTCTATTATTTCAACAGTTTTTACAACAGCGTTGCCATCATTAATGAAGATACTCTTGGTAACATTATTAAGAGCAAAGCGAAGGTGAGTTGAAAACGTGAGCAT